GGATCAACTGGCAAATGTGGAAGGAGTGACTGATCTCGTCATCATTCTCCATTTGTCCTTTTCATACAATCCATTGTCAACAGTCTATTCCAATGATTGTGCTCGACTGTCTACAGCATAGAGAATTTATGACAATCAATCATGATGCGCTGGAAAGGATAACAAAAAACATCGTTGGTAAATATACAGACGTAGAATGCGCACAATAATCCACCAGCAGGCAACGTAAGTCGATGCCAGTTTTCGCCTCAATGAATCATGCGCTCTTACTCCTTTCTTTATCATCATTCTTGATTGATCTGCAACAGCATTCTTATTATTGTTATGATATTGGCGAATTTCAGGAGACAAAAAGGAGCTGTACGATCAGACCGCAAAATGCCTTCAAGAAAGCAAGCAAAAAAATGCTCACTCCATCTTTCTATCAGTAACCAACCTGCAGTACACTGCACGCAAGTAGCAGTAGCTCTTGTGCTATTCTGTAGAGAAAGCTTTTACCTCCTGCTATGCATTACACTACAGTACAGTACACCTTATTGGACAACATAACATATACAATCTCTTTTATAGAAATCGGTGCATACTTTGATGGTTAATTTGTGCAGCAAAATTAAACCAAATTCAATAGGTCAACATTTGGAAAAAAATTCAATACCATCCATCCGTTTTGGGCACTTTTATTTCATTTGGAAAAATGGAAATAGAAGTTCTACATGCTGCATAACCATTCCTGACTGTACAGTACTGTACAGTAGGGACTGTATTACTGTCAAGAAAATATCCATGCATATTTTGCATGAAGATAAAGGTGGAAAAAAAGAAGTAAATTGATCTTCTAGCTCTCCACGCCGACATGAGTGATAAATAGAATTCTTCTAGGATATACACTACAGTATACAAGAGCGATAACCGTGATATGCATTTCTACTCCTTGCAAAATCCATCCGATCTTACAGTAGGACAACGGTTTGCTATCGGTAGAGTGAGGGGAAAGATGACTTTTTTTTATTGACCCTTATCCAATTTCATTTCGTGTCATGTTATTCTAATAAAGAGCAATTCTTCAAAAGCAATCTTTCAACTCTCTGGGTGGTAATAGCGTGCTGGTTTTTCCATTACGGTATACAAGATTAAGGAGACACGGTAGTCTACACACAAGCAGTCTGCAAACAATCGATTCGTCTTGACGATGCACTATGGAGCTGTTATACATTGAAAGAGCAAGCAATGAATCCATCATCGAGCTAGATGGTGGATTCATGAGAGAGAAAGTCAGTGGAAATGAATGACAAACTCATTCCATCATGGTGTAGAGGTGAAAGTATTGCCTAGTAGCAAGCCTTCATCACAACTGTTATCGGTATGGAGAGACCGTCGTGGTCAAAATGATTTGGCCCAGAACCCATGATAGGACAGCAGACAAGACGTTATTTTGCTTGCTATCACCTCTTGCTAATCCTTGTTGTTAATTAAAATCTCCATTCGTACGTCCAGTCATTAAACTAATGTCCGCTATTCCACTGCATTCATTCTCATCAATTATGACTAATTAATGGACTAGTGGCGCTAGTCAACAACTTGCTTGTCTCTCACTTTTATTGTAATGTTGCCTTCATATCCATCGTAAACAAGACTAGTGGTGAACTGTTGCTAACATCTACATCAACAACAACAGCGTCAATAACCCTTCAGAATAGTTGATTTCTTACACCAATAGAAGACGTCACCAGCACCCCAAATTATGACAAATAAACAGGGAAAAAAAAAAAGTAAATCTTTTCAAATGATGGCCCTAAACAATAAGCTTAGCGATATCCTTTGCCCTTATGTATTAACCATATTGTTATTTATTTTTCTCAAGCATGATTCTTCATTGAAAGTATTTTCAAGTAGCTTTGTTGTTGTAGCAGTTATGACAATAGACAACTGAGAATTGTGCAGTTATTGATTATTTGTATTCTATCCATACAACATATCCTTGTTTGCTGACTTATATTATGATATTGCATTCAATTGGCATCATTGATTGTTCGTATTATCTCAGCTGGTAGCCATTGCTATAGCATTAACATCTGTTGTCCATGCGACAATTCACATGTTGGCAGTTTGAGCTGTAGCAAATGCAGCGATGGCAACAAACTTGAAAGACAACAACATACTTGATCGTTTGGTCAGGCTTTCAAGGATAGCATTTATGCATTGATGTTGGCGATATTATCCATGCATGCAAGTAGTCTAATAATTACCGTAAGATTAATAAATGATTGAAAACCCTTATCTAATATCAATGATTTCCATTGCATAGCAAAGACGTCAACAATCGCAATCAATGAATTAATCGTCATATTCTTCACCAACCACAACTTTGCTCCATTTCTACCAATCGAGCAAAACATATCATTCTAGTCAATTCACTCGACTCAAACTACCATCTATCCATTCTGATCCATCCTATTAATCAATCAATTAATAATTTATCAGAATAGGACGACAAACATCAAAGCATCCTTCATCATCATTATCCATCAATCATCATCGTTCCATTGCGTAAATTGTATCGATAATAATTAATAAATAAATAAATAACTACAGTCGATAGGCAATCCATTTAGTCGGTCACCCATGAATTCGTGTAGTTTTTAATAGTCGATTGCAATCCGATCTTTATTTTATCTTGTTCCGCCGCTACACTCGTACTCTACTGTACTTGTTGACCTACTCGATGGGGCAACATGCTTCCATCGAGCTATCGCTAATGAATTATCCTCATTGTTGATAGCAGCTAAGGCAAATCGGACTGACTGAAAGGCAAGCGGCATTAACTTAATGTAGACCTACTACCCAGTAGACAAACTTCAAATCCAAATACACATTGTTTCCTTTCTCTACTCGAACTAGGGTTGCTATCCATCCTATGCTAAATTGCTAATAGAGAAAGGTGTACGTAATGTTTTACCCACTCTTCCTTGATGATGTTACTGTTATGGATAAGTTCATTTCATCCAGATGAAAGCAATAAATATCGTCCTATTCCAATCATCATCGCCGCTTATAATTACGTGTCATGTTATGATACGATAATACAATTAGAATAAAAGAAATAAAAGCTTTTACACAGGCCGAATTTTTGAATTAATGAGAAAAATTGCTAATGCTATTGCACAATACCACGACAGCTGAGCTGGTTTAGAACGTATGGCGCCGCACTTAATTGATAATAACAACTCCAGAGTATCGATTCGTTTGTTCCTTGGTGCCAGCCATTACATGATTACCTAAATCACATGTTATCCATTAGCATTACACTTATCAATTGGAACAATCATCATTAGAAATTATTTTTCCATCATTTCTTCTGTCTCTACTCATCACCAGAATATTTTACATTTGTTCATTTGGAGTTAATTTTTTGTAAAACGATTCGCCTGCTAATGTCCTTTACTCGCAACTGTTGCCATACTCGTTTTAAAAGTAAACCAGATGCACACTCATCGTCTTCTTCAAGACAGAGTTAATTCTAAAGTAATCCTCGAATATCTTTATCCTCCTATTCATGCTTGATAATGTAGTTTAATAGAGTAACTAGCCAGATAGTTTGTTGCTTCTAGTGGTTTTACGCATAATATTATACAAATTTCAGTGCAGATTGGATTCTATACTTTTCATGGAGTGCTCACAATAATAATAATTACATCACGGAAGAGACGTAAGACACATCCGGTAGTTCAATTTTTTTTTAAACAGTCAATAAGAATACACACCAAATTGTTTCCGCGGTACACAAAGCGAGACTCTATCATAAGAGAGTTTACGATCTCCAATAAATAGGGGTAGATAAATATAATTGCCAAATTGATTCTGCAAGCGTACAGTATACTACTAGTCTATACAGTACGTATTCAACCCAAGTGCAAGCACTAATTAATAGGCAAGCGATAGACGCACTAAATAAGTAACCATGACGCCTGCACTTGAAGTATCCTTTTAGCAATAATAAACTAGAAATTTCATCACTTCAAGCAACCAAAGTGCAGGGTGATCGCTAATGAATCTGTCGCAACTCCTCAAGATTTCTTTGACGCGTAAAAAATTGCTCGATCCTGCAGCATGGACAATATTGGATATCCAGTACTTTTATGATTGTAGTATAAAATTAATTAACCGTTAGGATAAATAGTGCAAAGACAGTAAATATCATTAAAATGTAATTCAAATTATTGTAGTTTTAAGTGGGGTTACCCGGTAAGAAATTGGGTACCAACGCACATCTCTAATGAATTAAATCTATTCGGAGTTAATGTCGTCCTATAAATATCCCAAATATTACTATACACTTCTAGAACGTCTATATCTGCAGAGTGCAGACAGTACTACGGTAGTAATATCGCCAATTTCAATAACGGTATTAATTGAAGAAAAATACATTCAAGTATTTACTCCGGTATTAGCCAAATAAAAGCAATTATGGGAATGGACATATTGTAGCATTGTTGAATAATTAGTCCAAAGACAGATACGTAATCCAATTTAAATACATCTATTCCGAGAAAAGTTGACACAAAAAAAAATTATATAGGATAGAATGATAGTCAGAAAAATTAAATATGTCAATATTCTTGGTGATAATAATGAATTCATTCAGTTCAAAATTGTTCTGTTTACTAGATGGACACTGTTTCGTATGATTAACTTCATTTTTTCAACTATTATTTTGCGAACTCAGCATGTTCAAGCTTTATTACTCCGATGGAATATTTTTTGCCATGCAATAGCAACATTATGCGTATTGATGTTACTATTATATAGCCCCTATTATATATAGTATTATATTAAAAATCAGAATGACAGTATCTATTTAATTAACTCAACTTGTTATTTATGCTTACTCTTACCACTATGTTACTCCGAGGAAATTTATTTTGAATATATCAAAAAGAAACATATTACAAATTTACATCACGGCCTGGACAGGCTGATTACAAAGTTATCATCATTATTATTTAATATAGTCTTCCTCTGCAGTTTTTGGCTTTGCAGTGACAAACAAATTGCTTTCCTTCCACACTACCGATCTTATAACCATAATCCCACGTCAATTCTGTGCCAGCTCGTATATAGCTACCAACAACAATACAAAAATGTCTTATAATATGAAAATCAGCTAGATGTAATGATAAATCGATAGACAGCATCTAGTATCTTAATTATTTTTTATATGACATTTACGTTAACGTCATACAATTTTAGGAACAATAGGCAAAAATGAATAGCATGATTTTTTTTATAAGAATAATGAAATACGAGTATGGTTACAATATCCAATATTAGAAATTTTAGATTTCATTTAATTTAATCATATAAAATATGTTTTATATTCAAAAGGAAACAATTACATAATTAATTAATTAATATCGTTTGCTGGATTGGGTATGTATTAACAATAAAATTGATGATGACGCATTTTTACTGTCTATCTTAACTTACTTTGCTGCAAAGAAAGCAATCCATGGAAACCGCAAATCGTGAGAATCTGCAAACACTGTTTGCACAAATAAATTTGGATTACAACTATGCTAAATAAAGAGAAAAATAACAAAAACGTCAATTGCACTAATACAGCAAAATGCAGAAATAATTTTAAAGACAGCTAGTAATCATCAATTATAGGCAATAGATAAGAATACATGTTCATAGAAAAGTTGACTTACATTATAGAAACGACTAACATTACCAAACATTTTAGCATCAATCGTATAGGGTTCAATCTCGTTGAAATATGAACGCAATTCTCTACGAACCTCCCTAACGGACTATTGATTTTTAAAGCAGTAACGTAGAGAAAGAAAGCTTCAGTATTGACATATAATTCAATTTATAAGCATCATCATCAACATCATTTACTAATGATAGTACATCAGAACTAGGCAATCTTTCCTATTCACTATCAATGCCAGTAATATATTCATTATTATCAACACTATTAATACTCTAGCTGACACTTTCTGTAATTACATTCTTCAGTTTGTCGTTCACCGTTATCGGTACATCGTTAGTACTACAATGCTCAGCATCATTCACATTATAGGCCCTATTTGATCGTTTGTTCGTAGGAGTAATGATGATGAATCAATCAATCTCTTCGTCAAATCATGTAATAGAAATATATTATCTCCAATTCTGTGTCAATTATAATACTTACAACTCTATAGATTCTTCAATTTCAGTATTATCGGTCCCACTATCATCAGGTATCAAATCTAATATCTACAATCATTAATTATTGATGCGTGCAAGGCCACGGTTGATATTTAGTTACAAATAGCTTCATCAAATTATCTGAAAGCAATCATTAGGCTTACCTTAGAGGAGTTATCGCTACTGTATTCAGAAACAGTAGATCTAAACAACGATATATCATTTAGGTTAAACAAAGTTTGTTATAATTTGATTATAATATGGCATACATACTCCGAAATCAGCTCGTAACTACCAGACGAGTCTTGGCTATCAGATCCTAGATTGACTTCAGTTTCATATCCATCTTTCTTATATCTTTCTGCTGAATCTACCGTAAAATAAATTTTCATTTTATAAATAACTTCATTCTCTTTATTAACAAATTGATTACATTAAATGGCTTCTACCAAATTCTGTAAATTACCTATTAGATCTAAATTTATTAGATATTCATCGCCATGATCGAGACCTTTCTATTAAACATAAAGCAATACGTATTAAGCATTCTATTGCGTCCGTAGGTCTTGATAAAATCATAAATGAGTCTTTTACGAATCAATTACCTTATTAGCGAGTTCATCCGTTAAGATTATACCTGAATATACTGAGACAAAGGCACCTTTTGGAATGCAATCAATAGTCCGAACACCCCAACCTCTAGGGTCGTTGGTGTTGAATACTTCCATACGTACTTGTACTCCATTTTGAATGACTCTATTATAACACTGGTTACTGTTGCTACAAGCGCATTTATTATTACATTCGTATATCCTATTGATTAATCCAAAGATAATCAGTAATTAAAAAGTATGTCCATAAATGTTATACGTATACATTTAATTAGAATGCAGATAATATTTAGGTAAGTGTATAAAATACTAAAAGCTTTTACCCGCTAATAACCCTTTCAGCTAATCGTCTGTGATGATAGCCGATATGTTCACCATTTCTACCAGTAACAGCCTCAAATGAAACTTTGGTCAACTGTCTACAAATGCATTTACTTGCATCCTAAACCGAATCAAATAGTCTTTAAAGTTGATCTTGTAGATTGTAATATAGTGCATTATCCTTTCTCCTTTAAAAATAAACTTACCGAACAGTTATCGTCGCAATCACAACATAACAGAAAGCCTTCATCCAAGTCTATTTTAACGCCATCTGAATATAGACGTTGGGTAACGTATTCAAAAGCATTGGGTAACTCACTATTGGCCTCATTAACACACTATATTTATGTCAAATTAAAAATGGTTATTCAGTCAGTCTAAAGTATTTAATATAACGAAGAAATGCAAGATATTGTATATACTAACAGCAATGGGCATCCTTTCTTTACCATATGTAATATCAGGAATATTTACAGAGAGGGGCTAACAAGAAGTAACAACATATCAGGTATAGAATTACCATTAGAATCCAACTAAGGCTACCTATTAGATCGGTTACTCTCATAAAGGAAAATATTTATATGAAGAAATGTATTTATTCGATAAAGTTGAATTCTTGCATTATCTTACCCTACTCCTTTCAATAACAGAATCACAGGCAAAGACGTAAGGGTCGAAACAAAACTGATCAATGCAAACGTTAGTTGTATTCGTCATCCGCACTAAAATAGACATAAAATAAACATTATTTCAACTACTACAGAAGTAAATCTATTTAAGACGATAATCTGAGTAAATACGACGATGTAGTTTACATACAGTACTGTTCCACTTCTGTTATATCGCGCTTTAAATTTGACAGATGAAAGTTAATGTCCAAAAGTAAATCTTCCGTCAGAGAACATCTAAAACATATTTAAAGTATCAATGCAACCTTACCAGAGTTTTACCACATTTGGTACGATAATAAACATCTCTCTTAACGTTTGATCCCCTTCTTTTCATGATAATCCTCAAAATTAAATAAAATGTATTCGTTAATTCAACAATTTCACATCCTATAACACGATATGATTAGAAAAGGCTACCTCTTCCATCCAAATAATTTTGGGATGGTTAGTGGATTATGTCTTTTGATTTCTCGTTCGTCTACATAGAATTGACCGGTACCTATCTCGTCACATTGACTAGGATATTCGAGACTATTACTACTATTTTTAGACTCTGGTTTTAGGTCGTTGTGATCATCTTCAAAGCTATTCACTCTATCCCGTTGGTCAATCCGAGTTAATTTGGTTGATGATAATAACTGTCTCGGAGAAATATAAGCACCATTCCGATAGCTGGGAGTGATACATTTTGCTAGATTGTATATTCCGCCACATTCAACCTTTAATATAGCGTTATAACACAATCATATTAGCGTTGATAAATAACTCCTAAAAAAGTGCCTTAATTAAAAGTGTAACGATTAAGATTATGTATGTTAGGCTAGAGACTACAACATAATATTCAATAATCAAATCTGTGACGTCGTGATACACGTATTATACATTTTCTTACGAGTTGGTCATATAGCGGTCTCAGTCGAGGAGAGCCACGATAAACCCATTCCGTTCTCTTGTCATTTTCAAAAATTATCTAAATAACGTCAAAAAAACTAATGACTCCAATCTACATACTAACTAATGGTATTGAATTATTTTAATGCTATACGAGTATATGAGTTGACTATGGAATTACGCACCTTGAGAAGATTACCATCGATATCGATAATTTTAGCATTTAACCTGTATTAACAGTAAATAAACTTATGCAATTACAAGTCTACAGTATACATTTAATGATTTATGCGTCACTGTTCTACATAATTTAAGTTGAATAAGAAAAAGAAACTCTTACCATTTTCCTTCCCTCTCTAGAATAACTTTTTGACCAATTTTACAGTCAATCATGGGTATCTATGATAATTTTAGAAGCGCAATTTTGAAAATTGTAAGTTAAAATTAATTGCGGTACCAAAGCTTCTAAGCTATACCGCTGTCAACTAACGTTGGGATATATCTCCAAATATCGATGGACAAATTCTCGCATCTCAAATTTCAGATCATTCCAGAAATCATTTCCTAATACATTTATCGAGTACACATGAATAAAGGATTTTACATTCAATTTATATGCCATGATTATAAAAAATGTTAGTAATTTACCTTCAGCATCAATAACTCTGTAAATTTCTTTTGCTGGGAAATATTCAGCGAAGCCATCATCAAAGAAAACTAAATACCTTGATTATTTTACGATCATTAATGACCACAAATAAATTAGTTGAAATCAAAACACAGTAAGCTACCTTAGTAGGTCATTTTTTAAATTACCTAAATCCATTATTGAAGCAAGGTTTTTCAACAATAATACATCCGTAATATACTCCACACTGGGAATAGTTGGCTACAAAGAATAGTAATATGATAGATAAATTTATAAAATTAGAACGGTAAATATTTACCATTCAATTACATTTATTCAATAAGTTTTTATTAACATAATATCCGAGGTCGTTACTTGGCACATGTTTACCTACTCCTCTACAACCCACGAAGAGTTCTTCAGCTCGCGACGCGCAAGCGACATGATGACCAGGGAGAATAATAGCACCACCATAATAATTAATACTTCTACTGAATCTGACCTTAAATTGCTACAATATTTAAAATTTATTACTCGAAATTACGAATAAATCGTTCACAAAGTAATACAAAATTCTCTTCAATAAGGCTTTTTTCACGATCATAATATTCTTTTGAAAATGGACAACGTTGATTATGATTATCTTACCGTGCCAGCTTCTGTTTGAGTAATACCGTCGTATTGAACTATATGACATAAGTATGTAAAACAATTATTATATTTTTGATGTGCTTAAATAATGATCTAATAATGGATTGATGTTGTATTGATAGTGATAAACTCTATCACGTAGCATAATAAGTATCTTGTACCTCGATACCAAATATCATTTGTCCATTTAGCAAGAATACGAGTTTCACACAATATTGAAGATTTTTGACGTAATGATGTATAGCGACTATAGGAAATCGTTGTTAGCCAAGAAAACATGATTGATTGATTGATTAATTAATTCATTAATTGATAAATTAGGTAATGACGTATTTCTTTCCTTAATAATGGTATGCACTGAAGCGCAATAACTACAAGAAATATTTGTTATTACTTAGGGATACGATCCTATTAATCCATTAACATCATGACGTACTCCTTTTTTAATAATTGTATGTACCGAAGCATAAAGGCTATACAAAAAGTGGTTTTATTACTACTTTGGGATACGATACTATTAATACATTAAGATCTCGATATACTCCTTTCTTAATAATTGTACGTACCGAAGCATAAAGGCTATACAAAAAATGGTTTTATTACTACTTTGGACTGCTATTAATGTGCATGAAATTATGACCTATTGTCTTTCTTAATTAAGTTTACAATTTTATATATCAAAGAATAGACAACAGGAAATAATTATTGACTACAGCATAAATACCGGTATTTAGACTTTGTCTCTTTAATAAGGTCATGACTATTACTTTCATGACGATTGAAATGTTGCCAGTCTGAAGATTTAGTATAGATATGATTTAATGTAGCTGCTTTGGATACCATTGAAGAGTTGGCATTATAAGGTCGAAATAATGATGATGTTGAAGGTTTAAATGAGGAATTAAATAAAGGAGCTTTTGTCCCTGACGTCGAGTGTCCACCACTATCATCACAAAAATTGATCGTACTAAGTATTGAAATATAATGAATAGGATTTAGAAACCCATGTACAACCAGTACACAGATCGGTGGCAAGTTCTTCATGATCTTACCTGTCAAAACTATTCCTACGATTATAATTTATACTGCTGGAGCCTTGACTTATTTCTGATTGAAGATTGTTAATGATGCCATGTAAAAATCGACTACATTCTTTTCTTCTCGCTACGAGATATCAAGAGTTTGTAAGTAGAGCGTCATAGTACAGTATATGAATGTCAGATTGATGACTAAATGAAGGTATTCTTTGAGTTAATTCTGAGGTTATATAATAAGCTAATCAAGTTTATCGATCCATCCAACATTTTGCAGCAATACGCAATAATTTGTAATCATTTTTATAACATAACGTAATACGAGTATTAATGATAAACTAAACTCATATAGCAATCAATGATTTACTGTATATTGGCGATTGATAGAATGATAGCATTCTTAAATTGTAAAGTAGATACGAGTAATACTGTAATGGTTCTTTACGTGAATATTAATACACTATTATTACTGCAGTAATTCTATTGATAATAATCATTCGGTCTATTAAGATTGGAGAGCATAATTCAATCAAATCGACAAGATAATCTAGCAATGTAATACACCATGAAAGCATACATCTCCCTTTCCGTAATGATTAAGGATCGAGTGATAATTATTTTTAATTTACAATCAACGTGACAATCACTATGGATAAAAACTCAGTTTTAATATACGTCTATGCTAGCTACCAAATAAATCTTACCTAGGGAATGATTTAATTTTCTTTCTACTACATTGCAAGACCTAAATGGTATATAGATACAAATAGGTTATAAGTAATCTATTGACAGTAGACTATACTGTCAATAATTTTATACTTTTTAAGTCAGTATCATTGGCTTAGCCAAGAATACCCTATTTATATTTTCGAGAGCAAAGGAAATCTAGTGCACTGCCATTACATATATCTATACGCGTATATCAGAGCATTGCAAAGGAATATTTTTGTAATCGTCTTGTCTGGTAGGGGTTCAAGTGAATCATAATTATAATGATTTATTGAAAGTTTTGCTGGAGTAGTGTACTAAGATAGCTGATTGACTTGTCTAGTAAATAGCAAAGTAGCCTGTCAACGGATCGATTTATACTTGTACAGTAGTACTCCTGTAAATTACGTCAAGTCGATAACATTCTCAGAACATGGAATCCATACGGTTAACAACAAATCCAGCGCATGGTCATCCATTCATTATATATTATTTATTTTCAGTAGCATCTTTGCAGATGTTGGCAAGGCATATAAGTAAACCAGTAAGCTGTAATATATAAAGCCTATCCATCAATTAGACTCGATTGGCTAAGGTGTACTCTGCATTACTGTACATATTTATCGATTATTTCTATTGCCTGATGGCTGGTATAAGACATGTAATACTTGCAGTTCTATCTTCGTACCCATTTTGATCTTGCTGATGTCTTGGAAATCTTCTATTTTCATCATCGACAGCAGTACTGGAAGTGACGGAGTTGTCCCCATCCAAGTTTGCATAGGCCATCACTCAAGATCCAATAGCTATTGATACACTACGATAATTGATCTAGTTGTGTACTGTTAAGAGAGAAGAGTAGTCAAAATAAGGTTTACAAATGTTTCTTATTTTCGATTCGTCATACGAATCATTCCTTACCGACACTATTCTCATGTAATGGAAATCAACTCGTGCCTGTCGGATAGTGATTTGATTACAGTGAGTCAATATCCACTATCAAATCTCATGCTGTATTATATCCCTTTAATCAAGGAAAACAAATGTTTGCATAGTGATAATCAATATCCAATCGATGACACTGATCAACTGTCAATTGAAAGCAAGACTAGCCATGATTTTTTTAAATGCAATGTTGGAAACCATCAACAAGAAGCAGCCATCGACAGATCTATTGACTACTCACAGTGGAAAAAATGCTATTACTGTCTATATCGATTTCAATTACACGATGATATGAATTATTGTTCAATTTCTTTCGCTTGCATCCTCGTTTTTCTATTTTGAATCTCACGAGAAACATTTAAACACTCCTCACAGCTTTCCTCGTTATATTCGGAATTGTCAGGCCTTACTCATTGTCCCATTTTCTCTGTAGCAAGATTTTGCCTGTGCTATTCAGCTGGTGGAGAATCCCTCGTGTGTACATTGATTTCTTTTTAACCTTATCGTAGTCATTAATTAGTGTGAGAGAGTATCCTATTATCGTCGTTCCAAAATTGGAACTTTTTGCAGCATCAGCTCGTTGATCGTATTATATACAGTAATTATGACTGGTGCTGATGATGTGCAGTGTGCACACCGATTTCTTTTTATAATGTCAACCTTATTCGTAATGAATTAGTATATGATTATCCTATGGTCAGATCGTTGATTGATTAATTATGTCCTTACCGGTGTGCATACCTTCCATTTTAGCCTTACAGTAGCAATTAATTTTGGTGGTGTGCACACCGATTGCTTTTGAACCTTGTAGTGGTACAGTAATTAATGAGCATACGAGTATCCTATCGTCGTAGTCCAACTCTTTCTTGATTACTAGTGTGCCCACACGTTCCTTTTCACTTTCTACAGTAGTAGTGCCCTAATTGATAGACGTACGAGTATCCTATCGTCGTCGTCGTTAAAAAGTCTAACTCTTGCAGCATGAACTCGTTAAGTTCTAGTAGTCTTTCATTACCGCAGCCGAGCTCTTTTAATATCAGCTCGTCAACGACTGGTATGTATAACGATTCCTTTTTAGCCTTATCGTAGTCATTAATTTGTTTACAAGTATCTTATCCAGGTAATTTAAAATCAAAACTTTTAGTATCAGCTCGTTGATTCTTAACTTAATAGTGAGTGTTTATCAAAGCCTGTGCCTATCAAGTTGACATTGGTAGCCACAGTCTTTTCATTCCATACCCATGCAGAGACTTGTTTGAAGAGTCAATATTTTTCAAAGTCTGGGCCTATCAAGTTGACATTGATAGCCACAGTCTTTTCTTTCCATACCTATGCAGAGACTTGTTTGAAGAGTCAATATTTTTCAAAGACTGCGCCTATCAAGTTGACATTGGTAGGGACAGTTTTGTCTTTCCCTTACCCCTGCAGAAACTTGTTTATTTTGGGAATCTCAACAGTGTACTACAGTACTGTAGAGTAATTGGTTTCGTTTTTACTGTTCATTAATGAACCAATTAACAAGTGTCAAGTTTATCAAGAGATTGTTAATGAATGATCATCATTTCATTTGCAAGATCTTGCATGTGTGGATTTCATCGAAGCTCGGCATGATATTCTAGCATACAACTTGAACAAATTGGAATTTGTAGTGGATTGCGATGTTATGGAGCAATACCTGCTACATTTAAATCATCATTACCTACCTACCTGCCTATGGTGCACAACTACCTATTAGTTCATCATGGTGCATTGGATATTAGTCAATTAGTGTATGAATTTGTCATCCAAAAAATTGGTAATCAGTCCGGGCCGGTACTGGGTTCAAGAACAGAAAAACATGTTGGCCATATTTGTCGAGAATACAAGATTAGTTGATAACACTGCATTCCATTGCTGGTCGCCGACAATTTAATCTAATAGTAAGAGATTATTACCCAGGCGACACTCCTGCATTCTCATCTCGCATGGTTTTGATGGATGGAAGCCAAAGAAAACAGATAAAAAAAGCAGCAAATAACCAATATTGCATCAGGTTATGCATGAGCAAGTTACTTCAATGATGGCGTGTTCAATTTTCAGGCAATTTATACTGAGTAGAGGAGCAATGATGAAGGATAGGATAGTCTAATAAATGTCATTGACTAGCCATCATCCTTTTAACAAGGAAGAAAGGAAAGAAAATACCAATGTCCTATAATGGCTTTCAATGAGAGAGTGTGTGGCAATTATTGTTGAAAATAGTCAAGGACATTACAGAATGGACAGCAAAAATGCAATCCACTTTTATTTATTGTCAAATACTTTTGATGATTACGTTTGTTTATAGGATAGTAGAACTCATGCCATTGACTAGTCGTTATCCTTTTAACAAATTGTTGTTGAAAATGGTCAAGGGCATTTACAGTATTTTGTCAAAAGTAAGATGGAAGAGAATGGACGATAAGTGGAGAAAGAATGAATCTCTTTGAGCAGTCCACTAGTCTATCATGTTAGTTCAACGACAATTCTATCCATGCGATGGACTTACCAACGACAATCCTATCCATGACATGGACTTGCCAACGACAATCCTATCCATGACATGGACTTGCCATCGACAATCCTATCCATGACATGGACTTGCAAACTATAATCCTACCCTTGACATGGACTTGCAAACTATAATCCTACCCATGACATGGACTTTTCGATCTACTACAAGTATGATTGTAATGATTGGACAGTGGACGAGTTGCACATCAAGGCACAAAAAGAGTGGAGAAATAAATCAAAGTGCTCCATGGTAGCCTTTTCTTGCCGTCTCGACATGTCAAGTATGATAGATTGACCTTTTACAGTGGATGCTCTACTCGTCAACACTGACAGTGAATTGAAAGCAATAGCGTACCTGATCGCCAATGAAGGAAGAAACAACCACTACGCCAACATCCTTTGGCTTTTCCACCACTTGGAAATCCCCTTTGGGCAAATGTTTTCTTCAACACCGTCAGCAAGGCCTGTAGTGCAGTCAAAGCGATGGATGCAATACTCTGGTAGACAAGAATAGACAGCACCGTTATGCCTTGCCACTTGGTTCATTCATTCCAATTTTCTCCCTTGCAACAGACTACAGTACTCTTATGGATTGTCTGTCCATCATGCCAACACGAATTCACTTTAAATAGTCACTGGCAACACTTTGAGCTCTAGCGGCCATTAGTCGATTTCTTCTATTGGAGAGTTGGCCCAAGTTTCCACAGTCCACTGGCTAATTCTGGAGGATTCCTCAATAGCGCATGCGCTCAACATGGAATGCACCACCGCTACTTGTGGAGTCCATTTTGCCTCTATGCCGGAGCCGTCAAATTCCTCATCTGCGTCGACGATAGGCAAGAGAAATGGCGTCGAAATTGCAATTGAGAATGCAATTTAACTCTATATAAGTAGGTTTTCATTACTGAAGGGAAAATGAAGACGCCAGACAAACTTGCCTATTCAAACGCGACAGATGAGTCCCACAATTCCTGATCTGCGTCCATGGTTGGCAAGAGAAATGGCGTCGAAATTGCAATTGAGAATACAATTCCAACTCTTTATAAGTAGGTTTTCATTACTGAAGGGAAAATGAAGACGCCAGACAAACTTGCCTATTCAAACGCGATAGATGAGCCCCACAATTCCTGATCTGCGTCCATGGTTGGCAAGAGAAATGGCGTCGAAATTGCAATTGAGAATACAATTCCAACTCTTTATAAGTAGGTTTTCATTACTGAAGGGAAAATGAAGACGCCAGATAAACTTGCCTATTCAAACGCGACAGACGAGCCCCACAATTCCTGATCTGCGTCGATGATAGGCAAGAGAAATGGCATCGAAATTACAATTGAGAATACAATTCAACTCTATGTGAGTAGATATTCATTACTGAAGGGAAAATGAAGACGCCAGATAAACTTGCCTATTCAAATGCGACAGACGAGTCGTAAAATTCCTGTTCTGCGTCGATGATAGGCAAGAGCAATGGCATCTGCATTAGAATTGAGAATACAATTCAATTCTATATACAGTACAGTAAGTAGGTGTTCATTACTGAAGGGAAAATGAAGACGCCAAACAAACTTGCCTATCCAAACGCGACAGACGTGTCGCAAAATTCCTGATCTGCGTCGATGATAGGCAAGAGAAATGGCATCGAAATTACAATTGAGAATACAATTCAACTCTATATAAGTAGGTTTTCATTACTGAAGGGAAAATGAAGACGCCAGACAAACTTGCCTATCCAAACGCGACAGATAAGTCCCACAATTCCTGATCTGCGTCGATGATAGGCAAGAGAAATGGCGTCGAAATTGCAATTGAGAATACAATTCAACTCTATATGAGTAGATATTCATTACTAAAGGGAAAATGAAGACGCCAGACGAGTCGCAAAATTTCTGATCTGCGTCGATGATAGGCAAGAGAATTGAGAATACAATTCAATTCTATATACAGTACAGTAAGTAGGTGTTCATTACTGAAGGGAAAATGAAGACGCCAAACAAACTTGCCTATCCAAACGCGACAGACGAGTCGTAAAATTCCTGATCTGCGTCGATGATAGGCAAGAGAAATGGCATCGAAATTACAATTGAGAATACAATTCAATTCTAAGTAGGTATTCATTACTGAAGGGAAAGTGAAGACGCCAAGCAAAGTTGCCTATGCAAATGCGACAGACCAGTCGTAGAATTGCTGATCTGCGTCGATGATAGGCAAGAGATGTTGCATCTGCATTAGAATTGAGAAAAGAATTCAATTCTACCGTAAGTAGGTATTCATTACTAAAGGGAAAATGAAGTCGCCTATACTCGTACCAATGCGACAGACCAGACATTTTCAAGATGGAATGAGCTACCGTGACAAGAAGCCAGTGGCACTGCAATTTAAATAAGCTACTGCTATCACTGCAGCCCAATTAACTGTTCGTCGTCGATGATTTTTGTTGCAAAAGTACCGCTGATATAGTGCGATCTCAATGCTACTCTGAAAAGTAGCATTGAATCCCAAAGTTTACAGGAGTGATGTATGAGCATTTAAGGAACGAATACCTTTCTCGTCCAATCTGAGTGGCTATCAAGATTTCTGTTGGACAAAACAGAATTTGAAATCCTACATTAGAACTTGCTTAAAAGTGTGCAGTCCATAAAGTAATGAAACTAGAAAAATGAGTGCAGCGTCGAGAAGAGACGAATGTTTCATCGCCTACTAAAGTCAAGTCATCATAGCATTCTTGAACTTTGTTCAAAAGTTCCTAGTTACCGAATACCTTCCTGATGGATTGCATTGATGAAATTCGATTGTAATTATTGTATACGTACGATAGGTAATGAAAAGGTGAACGAGTATTAATGTCATTAACCGCATTGATATCGATGACTCTAATTTCAGCCTGACTAGCCCTAAGATTCTGATCTATCAATAGCTTGAAGTGGTTCAACTGTTATGTATGCGAATCTAAATGAATCTAAATTTGAAATCTATAATATTTATTTAATAAATTTATTTTATCGAATTAGTAAAACCAGCTCATCAACGTGCAGTAGTTACAGCCATTTTTGGAGTGTATCATCACAGAAATTCAATGTAGTAGACTATTTCTATGTTCATTTCCTAATGGCTGGATCGGTCAATCGCCACTAGCCAATATGATATGGCCGGCACGATCTCCCGATTGAACTCTTTGGGATTATTTTGGATAGGGCTACCTTCAACAGGGGTGTATAGTAAGAACTGTGGAGATGACTTTGTGAAATTAAATGTAACATAGAAGCTGCTATTTGTACAATTAATCCAACAATGTTGTATAATGTCCAGGAGGACTTTACCGTTCGCGTAGAACGATGCGTAGCCTTGGATGGCTCACATGTGCAGCTCTAGTATGGTGATGTATAACTGACTAATAATATACTAACGGTGTGATTTGTTGCATTCTTCTATCGTCAATTGTAGTGAAATTTTATTTTAAAATAAAGTTACGAATCCATCTTTTTTGTGTCATGAAGGTGTCTAATTCAAATGCTTCAGTATTGCAGGCATTGCAAAGAAGTTTTTAATTTCTAAATGCATCCTATTTGTGTCATGAAGGTGTCCAATTCAAATGCTTCAGTATTGCAGGCATTGCAAAGAAGTTTTTAATTTCTAAATGCATCCTATTTGTGTCATGAAGGTGTCCAATTCAAATGCTTCAGTATTGCAGGCATTGCAAAGAAGTTTTTAATTTCTAAATGCATCCTATTTGTGTCATGAAGGTGTCCAATTCAAATGCTTCAGTATTGCAGGCATTGCAAAGAAGTTTTTAATTTCTAAATGCATCCTATTTGTGTCATGAAGGTGTCCAATTCAAATGCTTCAGTATTGCAGGCATTGCAAAGAAGTTTTTAATTTCTAAATGCATCCTATTTGTGTCATGAAGGTGTCCAATTCAAATGCTTCAGTATTGCAGGCATTGCAAAGAAGTTTTTAATTTTCTAAATCCATCCTATCTGTGTCATGAAGGTGTCTAATTCAAATGCTGCAGTAGTGCAGGCATTACGAAGAAGTTTTTAATTTCTATAGATCCAATTTTATCTTAAAATAAAGAATAAGGTTACCAATCTATCCTTTTTGTATCATGAAGGTGTCTAATTTAAATGCTGCAGTAGTGCAGGCATTGCAAAGAAGTTTTTAATTTTCAAAGTCCATCCTATCTGTGTCATGAAGGTGTCTAATTCAAATGCTGCAGTAGTGCAGGCATTACGAAGAAGTTTTTAATTTCTATAGATCCAATTTTATCTTAAAATAAAGAATAAGGTTACCAATCTATCCTTTTTGTATCATGAAGGTGTCTAATTTAAATGCTGCAGTAGTGCAGGCATTGCAAAGAAGTTTTTAATTTTCAAAGTCCATCCTATTTGTGTCATCAAGGTGTTTAATTCAAATGCTGCAGTATTGCAGGCATTGCAAAGAAGTTTTTAATTTCCATAAGTCCAATTTTATCTTAAAATAAAAAGTAAAGTTACCAATCCATCCTTTTTGTATCATGAAGGTGTCTAATTTAAATGCTGCTGCAGTAGTGCAGGCATTGCAAAGAAATTTTTAATTTCCCCCCCCCCCCTTTCAAAACTAAACTACTTCCAGGATACAAGGCGAGTTACTGTTAGTGGATCACTCAAACTCTTCACCTTTTAAGTGCTTTACTATGGCAACGTAACGTGACCATTACTTTTTTTTTTTTGCAACACATTACGTCAGGGTTTACTGACCATTCAATGACCATTGCTGAATTGTATGTTTAGCATATTACAGTCCCGTTGTACTTTACTATGTAGAATCATTTTCTACTCTGTCCAATTTTCAGGCAGTAGTCCAATAAAATCCATCAATCAAATATTATTAGTGGAACGGTCGCTGGTGCTATTTCGCCTACTGTCGTACTTTTACTTTGGACTTGACATTAGCAACCAACTGCCCACTTACGGTATCCACAATGTCAAAAGAGATTGGGAGATATTGCTCTTCTTCTATAGAGTTGATTTGGCCATGATGGGAAGAAAAGTAAGCTAGATAATGGATTGGACCTAGGTAGTTTACTGTAGTTAGTATTGATGTAGAGTGGAAATTGGTCAGCAGCAGACTTGATCGAGGAGCTTCTTGACCTGGCGTGACCATTGTGGACTTCTGCCTATGGAGGCCATTTCAACCGGATGGTGGTCAACAAGCAAAATCTCATACTGTCACCTACAGTGGGCCAGCAAGCGAAAAGCGCCTGAGTAAAATCAACAAAAATGACCTCTCATCTTGGTACAATGGTCAGTGACGACCTGACATTGGTCACCATGGTCAGCTGGTCACAGGATAGAGTAGTCAAAGACGCATAAAAGGTGTCATGGCCAATGGCATGGTACTGGTCACCATGGTCAGCCGGTCACAGAGTAGAGTAGTCAAAGACGCATAAAAGGTGTCATGGCCAATGGCATAGTACTGGTCACCATGGTCAGCCGGTTACAGAGTAGAATAGTCAAGGACGCATAAAAGGTGTCATGGCCAATGGCATGGTACTGGTCACCATGGTCAGCCGGTCACAGAGTAAAGTAGTCAAAGACGCATAAAAGGTGTCGTGGCCAATGCCATGGTACTGGTCGGTGTACCATGGTCAGATGGTCACAGGATAGAGTAGTCAAAGACGCATAAAAGGTGTCATGGCCAATGGCATGGTACTGGTCACCATGGTCAGCCGGTCACAGAGTAGAGTAGTCAAAGACGCATAAAAGGTGTCATGGCCAATGGCATGGTACTGGTCACCATGGTCAGCCGGTTACAGAGTAGAATAGTCAAGGACGCATAAAAGGTGTCATGGCCAATGGCATGGTACTGGTCACCATGGTCAGCCGGTCACAGAGTAGAGTAGTCAAAGACGCATAAAAGGTGTCATGGCCAATGGCATGGTACTGGTCACCATGGTCAGCCGGTTACAGAGTAGAATAGTCAAAGACGCATAAAAGGTGTCATGGCCAATGGCATGGTACTGGTCAGCCGGTCACAGAGTAAAGTAGTCAAAGACGCATAAAAGGTGTCATGTCCAATACCATGGTACTGGTCGGTGTACCATGGTCAGATGGTCACAGGATAGAGTAGTCAAAGACGCATAAAAGGTGTCATGGCCAATGGCATGGTACTGGTCACCATGGTCAACCGGTTACAGAGTAGAGTAGTCAAAGACGCATAAAAGGTGTCATGGCCAATGGCATGGTACTGGTCAGCCGGTCACAGAGTAAAGTAGTCAAAGACGCATAAAAGGTGTCATGTCCAATACCATGGTACTGGTCGGTGTACCATGGTCAGATGGTCACAGGATAGAGTAGTCAAAGACGCATAAAAGGTGTCATGGCCAATGGCATGGTACTGGTCACCATGGTCAACCGGTTACAGAGTAGAGTAGTCAAGGACGCATAAAAGGTGTCATGGCCAATGGCATGGTACTGGGGTCAGCCGGTCACAGAGTAAAGTAGTCAAAGACGCATAAAAGGTGTCATGGCCAATGCCATGGTACTGGTCGGTGTACCATGGTCAGATGGTCACAGGATAGAGTAGTCAAAGACGCATAAAAGGTGTCATGGCCAATGGCATGGTACTGGTCACCATGGTCAGCCGGTTACAGAGTAGAGTAGTCAAGGACGCATAAAAGGTGTCATGGCCAATGGCATGGTACTGGGGTCAGCCGGTCACAGAGTAAAGTAGTCAAAGACGCATAAAAGGTGTCATGGCCAATACCATGGTACTGGTCGGTGTACCATGGTCAGATGGTCACAAGATAGGGTAGTCAAAGACGCATAAAAGGTGTCATGGCCAATGCCATGACACTGGTCGGTGTACCGTGGTCAGCCGGTCACAGAGTAGAGTAGACTAAGTGGTAAAAGACGCATAAAAGGTGTCATGGCTAATGCCATGGTACTGGTCGGTGCCTGGACACCATGGTCAGCTGGTCACAGTGTACTGTAGTGTAGTAAAAGACGAACAACCAGTACCATGGTACTGGTCGGTGCCTGGACCATGAGCTGACTGACTGGGCAAGCGCAAAAGGACGACTATGCGCTGTAGCCCCACTGTGACGATAGTATATTAGTATGGGCTTGTATATTGATTTGCTGTTCAGAAGGTGGAGAGAAAACTTCTGCTTGGACTGTAACTTTGCAAGCTTGCCAGCTCGTCGTTTCTCATCGTCATCTCGACCTTAACTACATTCCAATCTTGTAAGGGTAAGAATCCATTTCAAGCTATTACCACACAGAAAGAAAATGAGCTCAGCTTTAGAACAAATCAAAGGCTATACCTACGTGGTAGCAGATACTGGCGATTTCGAATCGATTGGCAAGTATTCACCTAAAGATTCAACTACCAATCCTTCGCTCATTTTGGCTGCATGTAAAATGCCTGAATACCAACATTTACTGGAGAAAGCAGTCGAAGAAGCCAAACAACGCGCTGACGATATCAACGGCCAAATTGAATGGGCTATGGATTTATTAGCGGTTAACTTTGGTGCAGAGATATTGAAGTTAATCCCTGGTCGCGTCTCTACGGAAGTCGATGCCCGACTTTCTTTCGATGTCCAAGGTTCGCTTCAACGTGCTCGCCGTCTTATTCAGTTGTACAACGATATTGGAATTGACAAGGAAAGAATCTTAATTAAGCTCAGCTCAACATGGGAGGGCATCCAAGCCGGCAAAATATTAGAAAGTGAAGACGGTGTCCATTGTAATATGACATTACTATTTTCTTTCGCTCAAGCAGTTGCCTGTGCTGAAGCTGGTGTCACCTTAATCTCACCTTTTGTCGGCAGAATTTTCGACTGGTATGTCAAAAATACTGGCCAGTCTTCTTTTCAACCATCACAAGATCCTGGCGTAAAAAGTGTAACACAAATTTACAATTACTACAAAAAGTTCGGCTACAAAACGGAAGTCATGGGTGCATCATTTAGGAACACAGATCAAATTACTGAATTAGCTGGTTGTGATCTCTTGACTATTAGTCCTGCTCTTTTGGAAAAACTAACCAATTCTTCTCAATCGGTGCCGCGCAAATTGTCGGTCGACATAGCCAAGCAATCATCCGCTGACAAAATCTCTTTAAATGAATCTGAATTCCGTTGGTTATTGAATGAAGATCAAATGGCTACTGAAAAATTATCGGAAGGTATCCGTAAATTTGCTGTTGATGCGGTCAAATTGGAAGATATCATTCGTCAAAAGCTAGCCTAGATTGGCTCGTGTATCTTGCTCCAGTAAATTTGTTCAATGCTACCCTTTAGAACGTTACCATTCAAAATGGGTATCTTATCCCTTCACTTCTTCAGTCACACCACGTTATTCCTTTCGTATTTCTATAGTTCATCTATGTATGTAGAATGGATGATGAAGGCTTTGTTTTGGATAGATCTAACTTAATTTTACTAATCTGCCTTCGTACACAAGAAAAGTTGATACAAGCTGAAAATAAACTCAATCTTATCAAGCCTAGCAGTAGTGAAATTTGAATGATGAGCAATATTGAACTGATGTGAACAATCAAATGGATTTAGTGGACAGGTTCACATTGCTTCGCAGCAAAGACTGCTACAACAAGCATGCCAAAAGGTCATTTCATCAGTACAGTACTCGTAGTATAAATCGATTCATTATGATTGCTACTCGACAAGTTGTACACGATACAGTCTGATACTTCCCTTCACTCTCGGAAGTTAGCTAGTAATGAATCGTCGTCATTCGCTATAGTCTCCTTCATTTATAATTTTAATAGTAATCATCTTAATAATAAACAGAATAAAAAATTACTTCACACACGCAACATATGTAATTTACCTTTTAATGACCACGAATTAATAACTGCTTATCAACATCAGTGATAGTTGCGATCGAGCAATGAAACGTTTTACACATTAGTATTTAGGCTTTAGAAATACAATCACTGCAGTATGTAGAGATATTGAAAGCAATATAATCGGTTGATCGAATTGCATCAAATATTTGAAACCATTTACGCAAACAAATGTCTGATATCGCTACTGATTGAATGGTATTCGAAATTACCTCAAGCAATCACTACTGGTGAGCTTGAGAGATTAGGCGATATACTTTTGAATTTATTGAATGCATTTTTAAAGATCCATAACATAGCATGCACAACTTTCCAGCATCAATTCTCATTGCAACGTTATTTTTACAGGGCGCATTAAAATAGTTCATAACCAAGTAAAGCTATTCATCGATAGGAAGGTTCTCATGTAAAATTACGCCACAACAATCTTGGTATTTGTTTCAACATTATAAGTCTCTAATAACATTGTTTTTTAGCTAGCAGATGTCAATTAAAAATTAAGACCTTTAAGGTTAACAATGATTACGTAGTAGAAACGTTGTAGAGTAACAGTTTTAATTTATCAATTAAATGAAATAAGCTAATACAGCCTTTTCCGGCAATTACTAGCACCACAAAAGCAATATTTGACTTTTCCCTCAACACTTCCCATTTCATAGCCATAATCCCAAGTCAATTCACTACCAGCCGGAATAGATCTATCCATGATATTAAAAGCCATCATAAAATCAATTTAAAAGACACCATCATCACTTATAACTAGCCAATACCATTACCTTAACGTAAAGAACGACAACGTCGGAAATCTTAAATCTTGTGTTTTCCAAAAAACATTCTGAACAAACATATTCGGATCACAGCTATGCTGTTATAAAAGTTCAATCATAATGAGATACTACATAGAATTCAAGCTCTTCGAGATACATATCGTTCAATAATATCTGAACAAAGCTTATTCCAGCACTATTACTCAAAATTTTAATTTACGTTATAAAATCTTCCTATGTTGCCAATTCTTTTAGAATCAACGATGAAGGGTTCCGATGAGCCACCATGTAATTGTCTAAATTCTTCACCTTCTATTTCTACAGTTTTGCCAATCGTAGTTCTATCTTCATCGTCTGAGACTAATTAAAGATAATATACCTCAACATATACGTAGAATTTATCGCTGGAATTGGACACTTGATAGAATTATGCTATAATACCTTCAACATCGAATAATTTTTCCGATAAGCTATCATGATAATATTCAATGCTGTTCTGCCGATTTTCTTCTGACGTAGACACCACATCTTCAAAACTATGATAAAGCTATGTCATTCAAAGTACGAGTGACTACTGTTCAACCTTATATGGTACGTTACATTAAAGTATACCATGTCAAATCAACCATAGCTGACGATATAAAAGGATCGTCACTCTTAGTAGTAGTTTTATAACGTCTATGAATATGGTGATCCCTGGTTATCAGATTGTAATAGAATTCTAAGCTATGCTATTCTATGCACATATCATGACTTCAGTTGTAGACTAGTTAATAAATATCTAGTAACAACAACCATACACAAACCAATTGGAAGTAGCATCCTTTTCTGAGTAAGACCGATTGTACTGGTCCGATAAATTATCGCTACAATTTTCTAAATCTTCTTTACTCGATGTTCTAAAAAAAATTCACATCATATTGATTACATTATCTAGGTAAAATTCGTATTGATACATTTTCTATAAAAAGTACTCAAAGATCACAAGAAAGCAAGATTTACTTATTTTTGTTCGATTTTTTATTGTTCTCTTCTTTTGAAGATCTACAATCTTTCGATTTCTTAGCCTCTTGTGATCCAATGATCATTTCTGAGTTCAAATAAATTAATTTATTAAAGACGCTTATGATGAAAGCATCAAATTTCACTTAAGATAAAATTAACTTTATCTCAAGAGAGTTTGCTGTCGTTGAAAATGTTACTAACCGATAAGATCCAATTCCGCATAATATTGATCGTCATGCTTAACTCCTCTCTGTTAATAACAGGATGCAATAGCAAAACGTAATATGAATTATTTCGCAGGTGTATGCATTATGCCTTCAAGCGTAATGAAATCAAAATCAAAATGCTACTGACACGTTGAGCTTCTTGTTCAGTAATTACAACACCAGCATACATCGATACAAAAGCTCCTTTTGGAATATCATCTAACGTTCGAACACCCCACCCTTTCTTGGTTGTCATAAAAACCTGTAGTCGATGCTGAATTCCATTTTGAACAACAGAGTTATAGCATTGCCCGGCTTTATTTCTCTTGCAAGTACATCGTGGATTACATTCATAAATTCTATAATAAAAAAATAATAATAAAATTACCCATGCAGCAAGACATCGGTACTACAAACGTTATACGATTGATTGAATGTATATTTTAGGTAGTAATAGAAGACAGTTGTGGTACTATCATAGAGCTATTAGGCATCTTCTGATATAAACTAGACAATTTTAAATGTAAATACTATCATGCATCATTCACTTTTTTAACAAGATACAACAATTGCGAAAATTTAATGTATATTATTAAACAAAGCAAAGGTTTTCATCTGTATGATATTATAGCATACGCACTACAAACTCTTACAAACCCAGTCAAAACACGTGCGGCAAGTCTCTTTAGTTCATATCCAACTGAATGTGTCGATCTACCAAATACAGCAGCATTACTTGTATATGTCAATCGTTGACACTCACACTTAGTTTTATCCTAAAATTAAAAAAATTAAAAATAAGTATACTATCTCGACAGAGCCTTATTACCCAAAAAATCTCCATTCTTACTTACTAAACAATTATCCTTACAGTTGCAGCAAACCATAAAATCAGGATCGGACGGAATTTCTAGTCCATCAATACAAATACTGTCAGCGATATAAGTAAATGACTCCGAGACTTGGGTGATATCGGATTCATTCATGCACTAAATTGATAAGAAAAATGCAGTTATCATTGAAAACATATCATCAAGGTATTTAGCATAACTGATTTAGTTTACCGAAATCGGCACCCGTTCCAAACCGTTAGTTATATCGACGCAATAATAAAACGGATCCTGCAGAATTTTAAAGTAGATTGATCAATCTTGACCTTAATTATATTATTTAATATATTACTATCCGTACAACAGCAAATATCAAATTTTCCGATAAAAACTAGCGGTAGGTAGGAACAGTAACAACAAACACCTTCAAACATAAGTTATGCAATATATTGATAGGCAGATGATTGCATAAAAAAATTGTGATTATCACAGAATCTAAGAATGAGTTACCTTTCCAGGTACAAATGAGTTATTTGAAATTGTGATACTTTCCACCGCAAAATGGTCGATCGAGACGTTCTTAGTTTTAGTCAATATTACTGCAAAGTGTATATAAATTTAAATGTCAATTTTATTTTTTAATCTGACGTGAATGCAATGCAGAGCTACCGTATGTTTGACCAGGATAGCACTATCTGCTACTTACAGTAGTTGTTAATTTCCGTCAAGTCTGTCTGATAAAGCACAAGAGTCAATGATTAAGACCCTGTTCAAAATTAATAATAATGAATTTTGTAACTTACTAGTTTCCTTGAGCATGGAGCAATATAATAATATGACTGGTCCTCAAATCGCCTTCCTTTAATAGGTTTTCTATATAAAAAATAAGCACAGTAGATCATTCGTAAAATCATCATCTTATAAATTATTTGAAGTTACAAAAAAATTTGATCAATTTTTATACAAACTGTGAAAGCAAGGCATAATTTAGAATTTAAATAACCTAGTCCATCCAAGTTTTTCAGGGATCAGCAGTGGGTTGCAAACTTGAGTAGGTAAATCCGGTACTTCGATTCTTCCGCATGCAATTGTGCACTGATGTTGACGAGTGTTAATTTTCTTTTTCTTCAGATAGCCTGAGTTCATGCTACCGAAATCGAGATCATGATAATTATGATCTGTAAGGGCTTCTTCCATACATTCTTCACTATCGTTGATCTGAAATATTGTTCAATACTTTACTGGTTACAAAATCAATGCACGCAATTGGTAAAATTATATAAGCTAATAAGTATAAATAAACAAGGAAAAATCTATTTTCTTTTGTCTAAATACATTTTATTTCAGTAATTATGAAATTAAGTTAATATATTTAAGGCCTATATTTCGCGATTACGCTATCAACGTAATGCTCAATGTCTGTTTACATGTAAACCGTATCACTATATTACGTACGCTAATTGGAGAACTGCTTTCCTCATCAGCGAAATCAATTCTAGGTGTACCGCGATATAACACCTCTGTTTTCTTATCGGTTAGAAACATAACCTGACATGAGTGAGCAAAACAAATGAAGATCATCCAAAGTTTGAACGATACAATCCTACTTATTCCTGTACCATTCAAAAAACTCGAGAGTAGTTCATATTATAGATATAGCTAAAGTCGAGTGCACTTGTCATACCAGTAAAATTTTTAAGCACATAAAGCACTCTTACCTCTACCAAACTACAATCTAGGGAATGTATAATAGCGTCCCACCAATAGCCTTTCCACTCGACAATTACTGACTGTTTAAGCCTAAATTCTTTTAATGGAAACTATTTCAAAGTTATACATTCAACTAAACGTATCATTTATGCTAACCAGCATAATTTGTAACTGATATACTTTACTTACATCTGGGTATTTGGTTAAATATTCTTGAAAAAAACTTCGAGTCACACTATCTAAGTCTGACCAAAATTTATTGCTTTGATCCCATACAATTCGTATTTTATCTTCGTGTAAATACGATACGAAACCATCATCAAAGAATATTAAATATCTAAAGTAATAATATCGTCACCATAACGCATCACCGTTGATATGTTGATTTCTGATTATATCTGCTATTTTCTTAAAGCTAACAGTAATGGGTACCGTAAGATAATGTATTAGTAAAATACTATATACCTGTCATTATTGGATTCTGATGGCACCTCAGCGATAAGGCCACCTTTATATTTTTTGATTATGCCGTAAAACGCTGGAATAAAGAATAAAAGTGAGACCCTACTGATATATGATAAAAGTCCTGCATATTAAAATACACAAAATTGTTAATTATATATGTCATGGGAAGCCGTCAGTCTATCTTGCGTTAAATATAGAATGTAATTAGACATTATTTCCTATATTATCAAAGTTTCGATTTCATATCGGGTCAATAATGGGTGAAGTGACCGCATTCATTATTATAATAAACCAATGGGCAATTTATAGCCTGATAGGTCAATATTTAAGCTGTAGCTAGTTAAATTTCATCATACCTATAATTCGCAAACCGATTCTTAATTCTGATCTTAGAGGGATAGTATCGTGCGCAATATGATGTTGTTCAGTAATGACAATCTTTCTCTTTTTTAATGATTTCAATTCATATGTAATTGGCTGAATAATTTATCCAATGTTATCAGGAAACAATAAATATATAACAAGGTAAGCAACGGCTAATAGTAAAATAAAATTACCAATATCATGTTTAGATATATTCTAAAGGATTATGAGCATTAAAAGTGAAATCTATCAACTTTAATCAATTATATACTGGTAAATACAGTGCAAATCTAAATCATTAGCACGATATCCATTTACATGTCCATTTTGATCCTTTGTAACGTTGTTGATTGAACCTATGAATAAAGTTTCAAAATGCATTGTAGACCGACATTGTAAGCGCAGCTATTCTTAAGCTATACGGATATCAATGATGATTTAAAAGTAGGTGTTTCAATTTTCTTTAGAGTTAACGTAATTAAAAGAAAGAGCTATTAACCAACATTTATACCACCAATGTTCATCTGCAGGCCTAGCATATACAAACTGTCTTCTCGGGTATCGTGCTCTACACAGAAATAAGACCTCCAGTTAATCGCAAAATTTTTCAATCGAATACGTGTATAATATTATCCGTACACTATATTCATATTAATCGAATATTACCTTCGTGTCGATTTAAAGTAGCAAGATCAAGATGGCAAATTGATAATTGTCAATCAACAAGATGATCATCTCAATTAAAACGAATATAAACTCTTTTAAGTTGCGTGTACTGCACTGTAGTAAGCTGAGTGAGAGCAATACTAACACGATTGTAAAATATGACGAGTGTTAATGAACTGCATGTTGTGAAATAATACTAACTCTTATAATTGTTACTCTACATCGACGACAAGTTAAATATGTAGTAGGAATTTTCACATTTTAGGAGATTTTATAATCCTGATCCGAAACAGATCTACAAATTTTGAAGTAATGCAAACTCTAATTTTGATCATGACTGGATATACGTAGCTTCATTATTTGCAGTTATGATTGATTAAAATCGATAAAAGTTCAAATCACATTTTAGATAAAAGACTGCATGTACGTAAATTCAGACAATCGAAACAAGACTGTTTTCTAAAGATTAGATTGTATAATAGGTTAGCGTAGTTACTACCTGATGATTATCAAAATAATCGAAATTTCGGCAAGAAAGGTTTTGACTAATACTGTGTACAGTACAGTATTAATTCATTTCTAATCTGCATACATATCAAATTCTGTCTAGATTACAATATTTACATACTGTGACAAGCATTAATAAAAGTGACTGCACGCTACCTCTTTGAAAATTCTTCTTTCACAGGATATTCTCGCTTAGCGAATTCATTCTTTACGTTTAATTTACTATCTTCTTCAGGAACTATCACGCTCTTTGACCTATCATATTAGTAGACAGTAATTAAGCGAAGTTGCACATTAGCAAGACGAAAATTGAATGCCTTGTATAGTATGACTACTATAGTATCGGATGTACAACTGTAAACTCTTGAACAGATTTTAACGTTACCTATCGGATGCTTGTAGCATTTTAATCTTTTGTTGAATTATTACTTTGGAATCATCTGAATTTTGGCAGCTTTCGACTTCAATTACTTGATTTTTATTATTATCAGCCTTACTACTACAATATACAAATTAAATTATTATGTAGCAAACTCTTTGCGAACCAGAAACGCTTCATATATTGGAAAGAATATAATAATCGGTGATCGATAATAATATTACGGTCTGAGGACAAACGATTTTACCTCGTCGGTTCCAAAACTATAGGACTTTCATTACCGGTGTCTATCGAATTGCGTACAACATTTATTAATCCCTGTAAGAAAGTGGTACACGATCGTCGACGATCTATCAATTCAATCGAATATCCGAGGAAGAACATTATTAGTCTAAGATCAATTTTAATTCTTGCAATGGTACGTTCTGTAGAAGAAATCAATACACGTATGCCTAGTATCCAACGTATTGTAAGTGGATTACCACTAAATTGGTCCAAAATCTTGCAGTCATCTTTGTTGATTGTTGTAAGAGATTTTTCACTAGTCGTAACGATACATACGAAGACGAAGATAGAGTAAGTAGCAGTTAGTCATGGAGAACATCGCTGATAGAATAACAAGATCTAGATAGATCATTTGTACATTACATTGCGTCGATAAATCAATTGAAGCAGTGATGTCTACTCGTAACACACTACAAACTGACTCATCGTAGAGTTCATTTTGGTTCAATTTGATGTTGTCCAATTTTTTTACTATAAGAGGAGCTTTGACCGAAATACTGTAGTAGTTATTGACGTGCAACAATATACTTATGGCGGTCCAAAAAATGCTTTTCATGATGGCCTTTCAACGTAAAAGTGAAGGAATAGGAAGTTAGCATTGAAACCTGCTTAATATCGTTCACTTCAACTTATTTTTACACGAGACATTAGTTTATTTACTGCATTTGTACGTCCTGCAGTATACTGTATGTTCATTAAAGCAGTAATGAACTGTAGTAACATTCCATCATCATGCATAAGCTTATTCCATGGTGACAATAGGATTTCCATTCAATTTTTGGCTACAATTCCAAGATGTCTAATCTTTTACAAGCATCTATCAAGAAGTATTTGGGTCAAGTTGATGCAATATTTATTTACCTATCGTCTAAGTGCGTAATGAATCGACTGTAGTCATCAACAACTTGATTATTGCAATGTTGTATGCAATAGTAATACAGTATGATGGACTTGAGCACGAGATACAGGATATACCGCTGCATCTGCTATAGTCGTAGCACGTTTGGGATTGTTTGTTGATGAAAAACCTAAGCAGTATTTGCTGCTTTTTGGGGGGAAGTATGTAGTGAATCGACCATAGTCATCAGCAACTTGATTATTGCAATGTTGTATGCAATAGTAATACAGTATGATGGACTTGAGCACGAGATAATATTGTAGGATGGACTTTAGCACAAGATATACCGGTGCATTTACTACAGTAGCGCGTTTATGTACGATTGATTGGTAAGTAGTCTATGGTGTTGTTTGTTGATGAAAAATCCAAGCAGTATTCGCTGCTTGATAAATAGTCGAAATTGGCCATTTTCAAGAATACATTTAACGTAGAACCAATGCTAACCGACCTTTGCATTACCAGTACTCATGGTTTTCGTATGAACCTCGAGGTACTGCAGATGAATTCCATATCCTTGAATGGAAATTTAATTTGCAATAGCAGAACCAAGAGTTTTTTTTTTCTTACAAGATATTTTGTTTACGTTTTGTGGCGTTTTCAATCGACAACTACCAAGTTACTGTAATGCATGAAAGACTTACATCGTCATAACGAATTCTTCACTACTGTACTATAGATGAATTCCATATCCTTGAATGGAAATTTAATTTTCAATACTAGAACCAAGAGTTCTTTTTTTCTTACAAGATATTTTGTTTACGTTTTGCAGCGTTTTCAATAAGTTACTGTAATGCATGAAAGACTTACATCGTCATAACGAATTCTTCACTACTGTACTATAGATGAATTCCATATCCTTGAATGGAAATTTAATTTTCAATACTAGAACCAAGAGTTCTTTTTTTCTTACAAGATATTTTGTTTACGTTTTGCAGCGTTTTCAATCGACAACTACCAAGTTACTGTAATGCATTTAAAACTTACATCGTCATAACGAATTCTTCACTACTGTACTGCAGATGAATTCCATATCACTGAATGGAAATTTAATTTGCAATACCAGAACCAAGAGTCCTTTTTTTCTTACAAGACATTTTGTTTACGTCTTGCGGCCTTTTCAATCGACAACTACAAGTTACTGTAATGCATTTAAAACTTACATCGTCATAACGAATTCTTCACTACTGTACTATAGATGAATTCCATATCCTTGAATGGAAATTTAATTTGCAATACCAGAACCAAGAGTCCTTTTTTTCTTACAAGACATTTTGTTTACGTCTTGCGGCCTTTTCAATCGACAACTACAAGTTACTGTAATGCATTTAAAACTTACATCGTCATAACGAATTCTTCACTACTGTACTATAGATGAATTCCATATCTTTGAATGGAAATTTAATTTGCAATACCAGAACCAAGAGTCCTTTTTTTCTTACAAGACATTTTGTTTACGTCTTGCGGCCTTTTCAATCGACAACTACAAGTTACTGTAATGCATTTAAAACTTACATCGTCATAACGAATTCTTCACTACTGTACTATAGATGAATTCCATATCCTTGAATGGAAATTTAATTTGCAATACCAGAACCAAGAGTTCTTTTTTTCTTACAAGACATTCTGTTTACGTCTTGCGGCCTTTTCAATCAACAACTACAAGTTACTGCAATGCATTCAAAACTTACATCGTCATAACAAATTCTTCACTGTCCATTTTCATCTAGTGGATTGCCACCCAATACAGCCAAAACCATCAATCTTGGTGAGAAATGGCGAGCCCTTTCCAGTCAATATCGAGAAAACTTTTTCACAGTGAACTTTTGCAACCAGTCACTGCAATGTCGAAAAAATTTCCCCACAGCACTAGTTCAAGACGTACAGTAGGATACCGCATACGAATCGTTGAGGCGGTATGATACGGACGATACGTAAGTCTATGGCTACTGACCGTAGCATTAACCCCCATTCGCGCACAACCCCATGAATGGAAGCATTCTCCACGTGGTTTTAGCCAGTCGGAGACTCTTGGTGCCTTGGGACATTTCCAATGTTGAACTACTCAAAGATCAACTTTTAATTTTATCAATATTAATTAAGCAAAAAACGGATGATTAGCACACACCAGTGTAGGTACCCTAACCCTAAACCTAACAGAAATGAATGGAGCAGGTTTGGCAGCTGAAGAATCCTTGGCAATACCGTTCAGAGGTGGTGTATCCAATTCTGTAAAAGGCAATCACTTCTTGGTGCCTTGGGACATTTTCAATGTTGAACTACTCAAAGATCAACTTTCAATTTTATCAATATCAAGCAAGAAATGGATGATTAGCACATGCCAGTGTAGGTACCCTAACCCTAAGCCTAACAGTAATATAAATGGAGTAGCTTTGGCAGCTGAAGAATCCTTGGCAATACCGTTCAGAGGTTAGGGTTAGGGGTGCATCCAATTCTGTAAAAGGCAACCACTTCTTGGTGCATTGGGACATTTGCAATGTTGAACTACTCAAAAGATCAACTTTCAATTTTATCAACATCAAGCAAGAAATGGATGATTAGCACATGCCAGTGTAGGTACCCTAACCCTAAGCCTAACAGAAATGAATGGAGCAGGTTTGGCAGCTGAAGAATCCTTGGCAATACCGTTCAGACGTGGTGTATCCAATTCTGTAAAAGGCAATCACTTCTTGGTGCATTGGGACATTTTCAATGTTGAACTACTCAAAGATCAACTTTCAATTTTATCAATATGAAGCAAAAATTGGATGATTAGCACACGCCAATGTAGGTACCCTAACCCTAAGCCTAACAGAAATGAATGGACCATCCTTGGCAATACCGTTCAGACGTGGTGTATCCAATTCTGTCAAAAAAAGGCAATCACTTCTTGGTGCATTGGGACGTTTTCAATGTTGACATACTCAAAGATCAACTTTCAATTTTATCAACATCAAGCAAGAAATGGATGATTAGCACATGCCAGTGTAGGTACCCTAACCCTAAGCCTAACAGTAATATAAATGGAGTAGCTTTGGCAGCTGAAGAATCCTTGGCAATACCGTTCAGAGGTTAGGGTTAGGGGTGCATCCAATTCTGTAAAAGGCAACCACTTCTTGGTGCATTGGGACATTTGCAATGTTGAACTACTCAAAAGATCAACTTTCAATTTTATCAACATCAAGCAAGAAATGGATGATTAGCACATGCCAGTGTAGGTACCCTAACCCTAAGCCTAACAGAAATGAATGGAGCAGGTTTGGCAGCTTAAGAATCCTTGGCAATACCGTTCAGAGGTGGTGTATCCAATTCTGTAAAAGGCAATCACTTCTTGGTGCATTGGGACATTTGCAATGTTGAAATACTCAAAGATCAACTTTCAATTTTATCAATATGAAGCAAAAATTGGATGATTAGCACACGCCAGTATAGGTACCCTAACCCTAAGCCTAACAGTAATATAAATGGACCAGGTTTGGCAGCTGAAGAATCCTTGGCAATACCGTTCAGACGTGGTGTATCCAATTCTGTCAAAAAAAGGCAATCACTTCTTGGTGCATTGGGACGTTTTCAATGTTGACATACTCAAAAGATCAACTTTCAATTTTATCAACATCAAGCAAGAAATGGATGATTAGCACATGCCAGGGTAGATACAGAAATAAATGGACTAAGTTGGCTAGCTGAAGAATCCCTGGCTATACTGTTCAGATGTTGTGTATATCCAATTCTATCAATGCGATCGCAAGAACACAAGTCGTACGCGTGTAAAATCGGATCAAGTATAAAATCCAAATCATCTTATGCTTCATGTTCTATACAGCGCTTTCAACTCAAGATTGATATTTTCGGCGCCGATTGGCTATCCGAAACGTTATGTAGATTGTCTAAATTTGAGTATCTTCACTCTAAAATCAAAATCATCTTATGCCTCATGTTTAGAAAGCGCTTTCAACGTAGAATGGGTACTTGGGCGTAGATGGGTTATCCGAAACGTTATTTATACTGTACTCTATTCGGATCAACATCGATATACAACTCCCCTACATAACATGTATAAAGTTCAGTACAGTAGATTGGTATTTTATACATGTAAATGATGAAGAGTCGTATATGGATAATGATACAGTAGATTGGATTTTCTAAAATCAAAATCATCTTATGCTTCATGTTGATAATAGCGCTTTCAACGCAGAATGGGCATTTGGGCGCGGATGAGTTATCCGAAACGTTATTTATACTCTATTCGGATCCACATCAATATACGATTCCCCTACATTACATGTATAAAATTCAGTATAGTAGATTGGTATTTTCTACATGTTAATGATGGAAAGTCGTATATTGATATTGATACAGTAGATTCGATTTTCTACATATAATCTACGGCCAGTCTTCTATTTGATGTTGATCTGTAAAAAGGAGGTACAAATATAGTATATCGTATACCCTGCACTTGCTGTACTTACAGATGATGATCCCGTCGTTGCGATTCCAAAATTGGCTTGAAGCAAAGTATTCTTATGTACAGTTGGAAAATACATTGGTAGACAGCATGAATACTTTTAGCTCAAGGTAAATTATGTGCTAACCTCCAGGCTATGCCTTCACACCAGCTCTCTCTCTCTTTTTGCTACTTCTTGATTGATAACGTAACCTAGACAGTTAATATTCATGTTTATGAAGTAGAAAAGTACTTAAGTCATGCAAATGTAATTACATATGTTTTTATATCATGGGACATTCTAAAACTCGTTCAACTATCCGAAAGGATTGATATTTCATTGACAAAGTAAATTCTACATGATCCTCTAGTCAACGATAATGAATAGAATTTCAACAGATTTGGATCAATGTCCTGCTTGAAGACATGTTAAATTGTCTTTCTGTATTTATGTGCTATATGCAAGGTGCAGTAATTAATATGGTAGACTGAAGTTGAATAGGCAGAATAGCTAGGGCTAAAATCAATTAATGCGAGTAAATTGACTTGCAGCACTTTTATCCATCAAATCGTAGGAAAATTGAATTGTACGGTAACCCACACTTGTAGTCTACAATAAGGAATATTTTCTTACTCAATGCATTTGTGTCAATCTCTAACATGGCTGCTTAATCGGTTTTCGCTGAATCATTGAACCTTCCATCATGCCTACGCTACAGTAGCGATTTTGATTTACTGTACAGTAGATATTCGACGACTGACTATAAGTGATGGCGATGTTTCAGTGCAGAATACGAGAAAGAAACACTCTCCACTCTGAAATTGTGTTTTTGGATTTCGGAATGAATCAGAAGCAAGTCGTGAAATACTGCTCACCAGTCTTCAGTGTTAAGCAAAATTGAATCTGCAGTACGCTTGCTTCAGCATTTCTATTCTATGCATTGACTATTTATCGGTTCATCATTCTCCATCTAAGCATCTATTTTTGCATATTATACAATATACAGTACGCTATATAGATGGATATAAACTATCGTTGAAGTTAATAAAACTAAGTTAATGTTGTTGTCAAAGTGTATTTCAGAGTGAAGAAGCAGAAAGTTGCAAAACGCCGATACAGACATCACAGTACATTGATTATTTATGGGTTAATCATTCTCCATCCAAGCATCTATTTTTGCATATTATACAATATACAGTACGCTGTATAGATGGATATAAACTATCGTTGAAGTTAATAAAACTAAGTTAATGTTGTTGTCAAAGTGTATTTCAGAGTGAAGAAGCAGAAAGTTGCAAAACGCCGATACAGACATCACAGTACATTGATTATTTATGGGTTAATCATTCTCCATCTAAGCATCTATTTTTGCATATTATACAATATACAGTACGCTGTATAGATGGATATAAACTATCGTTGAAGTTAATAAAACTAAGTTAATGTTGTTGTCAAAGTGTATTTCAGAGTGAAGAAGCAGAAAGTTGCAAAACGCCGATACAGACATCACAGTACATTGATTATTTATGGGTTAATCATTCTCCATCCAAGCATCTATTTTTGCATATTATACAATATACAGTACGCTGTATATATGGATATAAACTATCGTTGAAGTTAATAAAACCAAGTTAATGTTGTTGTCAAAATGCATTACTCATTTTACATTTCAGAGTGAAGATGCAGAAAGTTGCAAAACACCGATACAGACATCAGAGTACATTGATTATTTTTGGTTAATCATTCATTTGCTGTACAGTATAAGCATATATTGTTGCATATCACACAATATACCGTACACTGTATATACAGATATTAACTATCGTTGAAGTTAATAAAACTAAGTTAATGTTGTTGTCAAAATGCATTACTCATTTTACATTTCAGAGTGAAGAAGCAGAAAGTTGCAAAACACCGATACAGACATCACAGTACATTGATTATTTATGGGTTAATCATTCTCCATCTAAGCATATAATAGGGTATATTATACAATATACCCTACACTGTATATATAGATATAAACTATCGTTGAAGTGAATAGAACCAAGTTAATGTTGTTGTCAAAATGTATTAGTGATTTTACATTTCAGAGTGAAGAAGCAGAAAGTTGCAAAACACCGATACAGACACCAGAGTACATTGATAATTTTTGGTTAATCATTCATTTGCTGTACAGTATAAGCATACATTGTTGCATATCATACAATATACCGTACAATGTATATATCGATATAAACTATCGTTGAAGTGAATAGAACCAAGTTAATGTTAACAGCTGTATCTAATCGGAAGTGCTCACGTTCAAAATGAAATATTACAGAGTATATTGCAGTATTCAAACCGACGTCCATGAACATGGTGCCACTCATAAAGGTAAAAAGAAAGAAACCTCTATAGTGTAGTGTAGTGCCGCTCTACTATACTATGTCCAGCACAGTAGGGAAAAGCTTACCAATTTAATCTCCAATTGTCTACAAGTTATTCTAAGCAGGGATTTCTCAATGATAAATCATAGCCAAAAGATCGTAAAATTGAGAACGATTTTGCGGCTATGATTTATTCTGGAGAAATCCCTTTTCCAAGCAGCCGGCGAACTCAGTCCATCCGTCCGCAACTGACACGTCACGCCTTCTTGGAGTTCTTCGATACTGGATTGGAGTTGGTGCTAGTCCTCCTGTTTCTCCTTTTCTCTTCCAGGACAGGAAATGGTAATTTGCCATTTATAAGCCCAATAAGAAGGGAATCGATTCGTCTTTCCAGCAATATCGTTACGAGTGGAAGTATAAGACTAGCCTATCTCTGGTTTACAGGTATAGTGATGTTAATACTTGCTGTTTAAGGTTAATTACAATACGAGTGGTGCGAATCTGCTAGGGGATGTTACCATCCACTTTTCAGTGATGAGCTACTCTCAAATTTTCAATGACTTGTAGCAGTAGTAGAATAATAATTAACCTATCGATACTGAATCTGATGGCGCAAATTACAAGTTCTGTAAAGCTAGGCGTATTTCAATTTGGATCGATTGCATCAATTACAACTGAAGGTTAACAACGCCATTGTCTATTTATTAATCTCAGGTTATACAGTACACTACATAACAGTAGCAGCGGTAAGAAATGAAAAATTGCCTTAATGTCATAATCTCTCGACAGTGGTTTAGGATGCGACCACTCACTTTATGCGTTCTTGCAGTTATCCTATTCATTGACATTGCCAGTGTCGTTAGTGATGATCAATTGGATAGATATTCTGATTTACATCAAAAATATTTCCAAATGAGCCATTTACAAAGACAAGAGTGTAGTAATAACAAATGCTCATCAGAGTATAAAAAGTTAAGTAAGAAACAACCATGCTGGGGTTATGAGAAACATTGCCGAAAACGAAATTATTACTCTTATCCAATATGCCCTGAGGATTCACGCGGTTGGGAGCATACCAAAGAGAAACAAATTGATAAATTTTGGCGTTCTGCTGATTTTGGTATGATACGTGAATTTCGCGATGAAATGATGCACTTATGTAAAGCTGACGAAGAAGGCGATTCAACCTTAGATTGTAATCAACATATGAGATATTGTCGAGCAACCAATCTATACATGAATTTAAAAAATTCTCGAATGGCTGATAGTCGTGAACGATTTCGAACCGATGTATTTAAAAAAGGAGAAATTGGTGGCCATTGCCAATTGGATGGCCAACGCTTAAAAAATAGCGATAAACAAAAAGGTGAATTACAATCATGGCATTCAGAATTACGCCCTTTCACATCGTTAAAATTCAAACCCGTCATAGATCGACATCACTGCGATGTTATTGTCGAGCGTCCAACTTATTTCATGAAGTTAGATGCTGGTATCAATATGTTTCATCATTTTTGCGATTTTGTCAACCTCTACGTAACTCAACATGTCAATGGCTCTTTTACCACCGATATCAACATCGTCATGTGGGATACTAGTTCTATGAATTATGGTGATTTTTTCACATTAACATGGAAAGCGTTTTCTCGACATCCTGTCAAGCGATTATCTGATTACGACAATAAGAGGGTAAGCTTTTGTTGTCCAAGTTTGTGGTAATATTTATATCATCAATGGATTCTTGTACAATTCTACTCTGTTATAAATCAAGTGTACTGTTTCCGTAACCAAAGTAGCCTGAAGCATTTGTAAGAAACTCGATTTGTTTTACAAATTGAATTCTAATGGATATTATTATCTACTTGATATTGGCGATGAGTTGACAATGTCCTACCATATAATGCATCACTAAAGTTTTGTCTATTGTATGTTTATAAATATAGGTTTGCTTTAAAGATGCTATTTTTACTCTACCCCCGCGAATGTTTTATGGATTATATTATAATATGCCATTGATTCCTGGATGCTATAATAGTGGTTTGATGAAAGCTTTCTCTGAGCATGTTGTACATAGATTGAATATTACCACAAAACCTTACGATCCAAACCGATATAGAATCACACTACTGTCACGTAGTACCAAATATCGTAGAATTCTTAACGAGGATAAACTGATAGGAGCGCTAAAGACCATTTGGAATTACGATGTTACACGTGTTGACTATACCTATCAGGTAATCATCCAGCAAGTTCTACCATAAACTCACTTCGATGATAACATGATCGCGTCTGGCGATAGACATAAATGATAATTCATAAATAAATAGAAGTTCTACCCATTGGTTTATTCCTGCTTTTGACTCATTTATAATTTTTAAATAGATGCCTTTTGAAAAGCAATTAGAAATTACTCACAATTCAGACATTTTTATTGGTATGCATGGCTCCGGACTAACACATATGCTATTCCAACCTCATTGGGGTGTAGCATTCGAGTTGTACAACTGTGAAGATGAGGGATGCTACTATGACCTTGCAAGATTGAGAGGTGTAAAATATTTAACTTGGGAGAAAAAGAAATATTTAATTCAGCAAGATGAGGTAAACTTTGATGTTGTTACTATATATAGAAAATTTATGTTGCATGTACAAGCAGCAATATTCGTTACTTTTAGACATTACTTCCATTATTGTTTAGGCAATGTTATGAAAGAATTTTTTAGCGTTCATTTTTACCAATCATGCACATTTTAGCTAATGAGAAATGATTAATTTCATTATTTATGGATATACCATTAGGGCCATCATCCAACACTTGGAGCTCATGCTAAATTTACAAACTATGCGTTTAATATTGGTGAATTTTTAAGAATGATTGAAAAAGGCGTTAAGCATGTTGCTGCAAATAGGCCAAAAATTAGCGCGGACAACTCTGTGGAAGATTCCTCAATCAAAACTGAATTATAACCTAGTCTGAATGAACGAATATTGAATAATAAATTATAGATCGTATTAGTGTATCAAGCGGTCCTTGTCCACTTTGATTATTATTACATTTTTCCTTCAAGTATATATAGGGAAATTGAACTAGTTTTGTATTAAGAACTCAACTGTATACCAGGACTTCCGACTATGTAAACAGGGTCTATTTTGGTTAAGTAGTCCCTGTTATATACAAGGAATAATTGTTATTAATCAGTGTAAAATTTAAAAATTTTTCCACGGTTTTGAAATCTGGATCAATCGTATTTGTATATCATTATTGGATGAGATATTTTTTAAATAAAGTACCAATTTCAGAAACTGCATATGAAATAACTTTGTAGATATAGAGCCCAGAAAGAAATTTCGATTATCTGTACTCCTTTAACATACAATACAACATAACGATAGGTTTCCTTCCCATTCAAATATGTAAACATATTTATTGATAAAGGTTGTGCTATAAAAGCTCCGATTATAATTATCAAATCTTTTAGATACAAACTACTAAATATAGCTATAGATTTTATCCCGAACAGAAAGCATAATTAACCAAGCAATTACGTAGTTTAAATACCAAAATATGCTGATCTACATCACTACAATTGTTACTGGAATACGTGTTTGTGTATCAGTTGTCATAAATTATTTGATAGGCTAACAATGATGTGTGTAGATTTCGAGAATCACATTCGAAATTTAGATACAGTTGACTGAAATAAATATTATTACAATAATTACCATGGAATGCACCGCAGCATAGCATACAGTATACTCATCGAGATACCGCAGTGATTCTAATATATCAAGGTATATGTTAAGAGAGTATTTAATATATATTTACTCAATCAAAAATGTATCGTATTTTATCATTAATTGATTAAAACTATTAGTAGTAATTATAATCTACAGTATTGTATATACCCTACGTATAGCAATAAAGAGGAACGTTTTCATATTAGCATACAAAGTAAACAAACAAGTACAGTTATTCATTACTACATTAAAAACAATTTTCTAATACTATAGAAATACTTTGTATGGGCGTAAAATCCACTCTACTGGTTATACAAATGACTTTTAAAAGTTTTTTTTTTTATTCGGTATACTTTTTACCAATTTTCAACGATAGTTTCGATTTTCATGTAATTAATATTAATTGCAGCACAAAATAAAAATTTCATGGAAATATTCAATGATTTCCTTTCCTCTTATCAGTATGTGTTTTGTTTTCGACAGCATCGCAACTCTCAGTATTGAACAAATGCTAAATAAAGGGAAGTAATGGATTGTACTGTAATATCCTAACCTATATCACACTCTAAGGCTTATGGTGATATCAGTAGTAAAGTCCTCGTTGTTTTAAGGTATGTATTTATACGAGAAAGCCATAACGACTTATCCCACATCGATTTTGAAAATATGACGCGCCAAATTATGAAGACAAGAAGAGCATAAGTACCCCATCGTATATGTTGTCGCCTAAACAATAGGTTATAAATCATCATTTTACAGATACTGTGCAAATTCTGAAGCTTTTAAAATATAAAATTTACCTAGCCATTTTCTTTTTTGCTTGAGGAAGGTTAGATAAGTCTTCATTCATTAAATATCTTTTAATACCAATACAATAATTCGAGATATATGATTCCCAATTCAGTTCAGTGAAATCGAATGGAAATTCCTAGAAAATAATAGGAAAGGAGAGACTAAATTTTCTATAATACTATCAGAAAATCATACAGTTTACTGGCTGATTAATGTTACATAGTAGAAGTATTAGAGCATAAGAGCACAAAAAATTTACCTTATGATCTTCTGGTGTCATAGTTTGCCACAGTTTTTTAGCATTCTTGTTAGTCCACTGTAAACCAAAAATCACTCTTATTGTGAATCAATATCAAAATAAAAGATCACCAACCATTAAAATAATTTCACTTGTATAGTTAGTAGTAATACCTTAAATTCTGTGCACGTAAAATACTCAAAGGCAGTCATAGATCTGTGAATGCGATCATACTCATTTATTAACCTAAAAGGTAAATGGTTAATCAATTTGATGGTAAATTAATACTTTGCTGCATAAAACAAAAAATATAAAAGTCTACTTTTTGCAGTTATACCTTGGTTTTTTGCCACACACAAAACGCCATGCATCCACAATGTATGCCGGAACCCAGTGTTGCATAAATAGATGAAATCGGCTACAGATAGAAAACGAAAGTTTTGAGTAACCGTGAGTCCAATATGGAACTCACTGGCTGATGAATATGAACTTACTCCAATTTCTGAAGTATACTACATCGATTCGTAGTACTTACTTGGTTTCGCCATTCATTGAACAAGATGGCATTCTAAATACTTGATCATGCGGAAATTCATAGGAATTCTTCAGGGTTAAAGATAACCAACTCCCCCATACAAAAGGATTGTCTGGCGAACTACAACAGTTGTAGATTAAAGGAGTCTGCTGCTTCGAAGCATGCACTGCATGCCAACAAGCAGCTATAAGCATGTTGACAGTATAGTCGACTGGAACTAAATCAGCTTTGCATTTCTCTTTGGCAACAATTCGACGTAGTAAGCCCTTCGCAACCTAATCGAGATTATCAGATTATCATCAACAAACTATTATTCGACTTTCTTTATGCTCAGTCAAATGTAATGTTTCTGTATTTACGAACCAAAACCATCGCTGCTGTCCCACCATAATAATTGTCTATCCATCCCTGAGGTGAATACTAAATATCAATACCAGGGTCATCGTTGTTGGACATATCAATTAAAATATGTACTTACAGAAACAGGCTCTTTCCAAGAAGCTCCAATTATAGAAGGTCTAACAATGGCTATTGGAAGATTTAAACCTTCCGTAGCGATAACAATCTCAGCTAATTTCTTAGTAAATGTGTAGGTATTTGGTAGTCTTCCCAATAATTTTGGTGTTACCTGGCTTATCATGTCGTCGTCCATCCAACTATCAAATTAAAACAATTAATATATTATCTGATCTTATTCCATAGAGTACGGCTATTAAGTTTAGGTAAAGCACATCGATATTAAAATCATTATAACTGAATAAAGTTTGAGAAAATTTTATACCTCATTGCATCAATTAATTTTTGAGGTGGAACGATATCTGAATATATGACTTCTTCAATTACTTCTTTATCCGTATTGCAAAAGGCCGTAGATACGTGTACATAGCTCTTGTTATAGCAGAAATAGTAATAGGTTAAAGTTAAAAATAAATCTATATAGGTCGTTCAAATGAAGTATTGATGCTTTCCTAAGTACTAACTATTAACTAAGCAGACTATAATTCTATCATAAATACTCGTACAGGGTGATGGATATAAAGATTACTGAGTGTTACAACTGTTACTATAAGCTGCTGCAAGTATTGAGCACGTAAATATTGTGCACATATATTCAATAGTGACAAATGTTACATCATAAATTGTCAAGTTCATGCAGTATAATACCTTTAACTTGGGCATTCGTTTACAAATCCGGATCATAGTTTGAACGCTTACTACATTTTGCAAAATAGATTTGCTAAGAGGGCACAAATTAAAAATATTAGACTTAAATAGGATGATAGCAACACAACTTTACATTACTTCATAGGTTTACAGTCTACAATTTATACTAAGATTGTTTAGCTATATGTCTTTACAAAATATGCATATGAGACTTCATTACGATAATAGCAGTGCAAGAAGTATTTCGCTACATTTATAAGCATAACAATCTACAATTTATCACTCTACACTCATCTTTCACTAATGAAATAAAGATATGTTCTATATCTGTCTAGTACTTTGCTTTGATAATTGTGAAAACTCGTATAAAAAAAAATACATCACAACTTTGCCTGTAGTCAATCCAAACACATAAAATCCAGCCAAGTACTGTATTTATCTAATAAATTAATACCGCTGTATGATGCCACATTTACCGTAGTAGTTCATCAAATTTGATTGTAGCAGCTACATGAAACACTATGTCTGTGTTTGCAATTATATCACACAAGTCGGATTCACATATACCATAATTTTCAAGTGTAATATCGCCAAATATTGGAATAACCTTCTCAGTGAAGTTTGGTGAAGCTTCTCTAATGCTGTCAAAGAGCTAAAAATATAGACAGTACATAAAATTATGTATCTCAGCCGTTGCTATTACTCATTATACGGGTATTTTTCAATAGTTGTCATCCTATGTATTTTAATTAATACAAGTGAACGTAGGAATTATATGTTCTTACGCTTCATTCTCAAAGTTTGTCAAATGATACCATGCACAATCCCATACCGTAATCGATGAAATAATACAGCTTTCAGTAACAACTTGTGCTAATTTAGTTCATACGTACGTATCTATCTTAAATGAAATAGGTCTACTGGCACTAGTAGCAGGCTAAACTCAATTCTATTTTATTATCAAGGTTTATAATTTAAAATATTATACGTTACTACATTAAAGTAGATAATACTTCTAGTACTATAGTAATACATTCCTAGTTAAAATTGCATTGTTCTAGTTGGTTAGTAGTAACATATGCTGTTACCAATTTATTAATAGACTGCCGTTAATTTATACATTTATACAACTTCAGAATAATTAAGAGCATCCTTTCTAAACGAATTATCAATTAAGTATATATTCCTTCATAGGGATGCATGAAATTATCACCTTAGTTTGTAGAATAGTTTTCAATCTTTCTGTGGGTTGTTGACCTTTCTTAGGTCTGAGTAAAACATAAATCCTTTCTATATTGGGTGCAACACGTAACAATTTTTCCAACAATGCCTTGCCAAGGAAACCAGATACGCCAGTTATAAATATTGTTTGTCCAGCATACAAATGTTTAATTGAGGGAGGCATAGACTCTATAAATTTAGTAAGTAATAATTCACCAGTCAACATTACAGCATAGGTTAGGGTCTATTACAAGCGATGGAAATTAAATAGTGTATATTGTTGTACCAAGAAGATACTGTTGACACGAATTATGGTGAAAAATGGCAAGTTATTAATTATTTCTTTAATACACTAGTAATCACAGACTACAGTTAATGTGAGAATTATCCGAGACGCATTAAATGACATTTCTAATTGTTGAAGAACTAAACTTGTACAGTATCATGTAGAGCATCCATAGAGAATAATAAGTTCATCCTTACACGAAATAAGAATATTTTGACCCGACAACTGTTTACATTAACTCGTATGATCAAACTGTTCTTAATTCAAATAGTCAATTAGCGTAACGACTGCCAATCGTAAAATAGGTGAAACAATTCAGTACATTGCATGTATGCATTGTATACGTGTAGGTTCAAAATTAAATATTTGCTAACAATCACAGTGTAGATTTCAAACGTAATATACTCAGTTTGTGGCAACCATGACTGCGTAATTATAATGCAGAGATACCATACTATGATGAATTTCAGTGCAACAACTAGCTATAGTAAGGATTAAAAAGTTTATGTTAACGTTCCCTGGTGTACTGTAGAGTTTAAGCGTAATAAATTCAGTTTGTTGCAACCATAATTGCGCAATTACAAAGCTGAGATACCATACTATAAATAATTTCAGTGCAGTAGTTATGTACAGAAATCGATATTGAATACGTATACTCGTATAATAGGAAGAAATACTCTATCGCGGCTCAGGTGGACAATATATCGAAATCATTAATTATCAGTTTTGATAGATCAATTATAACTTCAATGTAGTGAACTTATTTCTACCATAATTTATTGATACCTGTGCATTGCTTGTCTCCAGCTTCTTTACTTGCCGATGTACCATTATTACTTCCTTCACCAGGTTTCATAATGACTACAATAAAAACAAAATAAATTATCATTTCTATCCCAAAAATAAAAAAAGCTTTCAATGATTATTATTTATTTTGTCATAATATAGCATTGGACAAGATTCAATTCTTGTTTTGTAGGTTTTGAAATTTTATAAATTTATACGGTTACTACCAGGCTATAGTACTGCAAAGTACGTGGACAAATTATTTATTTTAAATTAGTACGTACAGTACAATAAAGCTTGCTGATTACGTCAGCTGCTCAGATCTAAACTCTTCTTCCACAATAAAAGAATCGTAAAGATTGCTACATTGGGTTTTTTCCTGAAATTGACTATTTGTAGGGACTAGGAAAAGTTTAGTCGTCGCTGATATTTGTTGTGCATCGATCGTATTGGCCTATTGGGCTGTAGTATTACAGTATCCCTTAAATGCGAGTGAGATCGTTGAGGCTTTGAGATAGTATCTTTATCCCGCATACGGACTTCTACCATACCTGCTCTATTTTTATGCCATTTATCAGTAAGACACAAGTTTAGAAGGATAAGAAATTCACCTTCAAATTCTCTGACCAATGATTAATGCGTTGCAGACTAATTGAACTCTGTACATGAAATAAAGAAATCGGTCATATTATTTAGCGAGTTCCTTGATATGATCGTAATTTGAACTACTACAGTATACTGTATTTGGCAGTGTAATTACTCATATGGCTATGCTTTACAATGAAAGCTACAAATGTCGAATGGTGGGTAGAAAAATTGTTGGGCAAAATCAATCGACACAATCAGCTATCCCTAGTAGAGTGCTTAACTAACGCGTGACTCGATCATGGATGATTTACTATTTGACCGATCATTTTTCGATCTTGTAGTATTCCTTTAGCTACTTTAGTACTGTACCAATACAAAAGAGTTCAAAAATGGTAACCTTGACAGGACATCATTTTAATAATCATTATTATCATCAGCCATCGAATCACTTGGCAAGGCTTTGCTGAAAATGTTTCCATGCAAGTCTCAAACTTGGCTGAAAATGTCCCATGCGACATCGCAAAACTTTACTAAACAATGCCTCCATGCAATATGGTAAAACTTGGCTGAAAATGTCGCCATATAAACATGGTCCAATTTTTGGGCTAAAAATATCTGCACGAAGTGATGAGTAGTCTTCGATATGATAAAGGAAATGAATTTAAAAAAAATCTTTGGCAAACGCTCACTAACTCAAGTTTAATTTCTAATTAATGAAACAACAATTGTCTTGGACAGTATTCAGGACTAGAGCAGTATACTGTATTATACAGTATCCTGTATTATTTCAATTACACTATGGTGCCGCTTGATTAAAATGCATGACGAAAATGGGAAATTTTAAGCTTTTGATCACTCGGCTTAATATGTTTAATGAATTAGAAAGAATTGCCGGCTGTTTGCCAATCATACAAATTTAGTCGTTATCATCAGTCAAAATGGATAATGACTTAGCGAAAACTGCGACACAATAGTTGCGGATTTTCACGTTGGAGTTGGCAGGATGATGGTAGTTGCCTTGTAAATGTACTCTCTACTGTCAGGATTTATAGGCGCAAGCAAGAGATCAGTCAAGTCGGTATAGTATAAAATTTCTACTAGGCTAAGTACAATATTCCGAGACGTCTAGCCATCGCAAGCGATCGAGACTCTCTTTCCGCATCAATCAAAGCAATGGTCTATGAGCCAATGTCGGCTCGATCCAGCTAGTAATCCATCATCTGTACAGTAATTATTCAATCTCGAACTAGCCGTGGTGATGGCAACGTCTACTGGAGTAGAAAGCCCCTCGCTACAACATCCATTAGAATAATATTTCTATCCGTAGACAATATCCAGAAGAGTGTTAATAGCCAAGCTGAGTGGGCGTTGAAAAAGGCAGACTGAAGTTAATGATAAATAATTATCCATAGTTTGCTTATTGAGCGCCATGATGATTATCAGTTTAAGCATAAATCCATGTCTAGTTGTAAGTTCTGTGATGGTGTAGGGCTAGAAATGGTTGATTCTAGTTTGAAAATGTTATTTGTATAGCGATCCAGAGAGTCAGTAGAATTGAATTAACTTGATCATCAAATGTGGTATGACTAAAGAGTCCTTTGCGAGGGTATTGATCAAGATTAGATCAATTCCCTCATTAGCAAAGTGCAAGCTGATGTGTGATGATGATCGACGATAGAGGTAGCCCTAGAGATTCTAGCATACACCAGTACAACGTACTAGCTAGCCTGTAATGGTCTAGACTATTGCTGCATGAGGATCGTACAGGCGAGTTTGTCCATTATTAAATTCCAACTGACATTCTCCGTTGATGATAATGTATTGTAGAGGAATGAGGCGGTTGCACGTTGTTATGGTAGGAAAAATATTGTAGTATAGATACAGTCGATGGATTGGCCATATCTTTATTTGATTGTTTATTTATTTATTTATTTTACACTTGATAGGTCCTAATCTCGTCGTTATTTCGAGGAATCGACATTAACCAATAGAAGATCTATCCGTGAGGATATTGAAATGTGCGAATACTATACACTATAGTACTTTACAGTGTAGTGATTGTGTGGAAAAGCATAGGAATTTTTGATTATTCATGCCACTACTGCTGGACACGATGGCTTATTGATGGTTTTAAAGGAAGAAAAGGTAACAGCATCATTTCTAATGAATGCATTTGTGCAATACTTTCCACATGCTCACCTTCTCAGTCATGACGTATTGGTGATTGCTCATTCACAAGTAGCAGTATGAAGAGAGAAGAGAACTAGCGGTGCATCCGATGACTGATCGCTAGGGTACAACACATGAGCTAGTTTTTCCATGTTGCTACGATATTGCATGGGATAAAAAAAATGGTTTGATTGTACTTGCAATGCTGGATAATAAGGGAGTTTAAAATGGGAGTAGCGTACACTATTGTCCATGGAGTGAAATATTGTACAAGTTAGCAAACAAGTACGCCAAGTCTTACGAGCTAGGTGTTGGATAAGTTGATTGTTCTTGTCGAGATCATTGCATGATGATGTACTGCATCATCACCTTACCCCAAATCAAGGAGCATGAATACCAGCCAAATCGATCACATGAAATTCTTAGTCTACCTATGCATCCTGCTACTAAACGCAACATGGACTCAGCTTAAGACCTTCACCACTGTTCATGAATCAGATGACATCCATTGTCGAGTCCAAAAAAGGAGAAAAAAAAATGTGGAAAGCACTCCCTTGACTAGACCTGCCAAGGGAGAATTTCTGACTACTGTATAAACTCTCCTTGAAAGCCAGCCACATAGCCCCAATTACATGGTGCAACTTTCAAATCGTCAACGACCTTACACAGTCAGTTCGAGAGCACCTTTGCATTTTTTCTTTCTCCTGTCTGTCATTTTACACTACGCACTACGTAGTCCATTGAAAAATTGACCGTGCAGTGAAAATGTTGTCCATAGACCGTTTTCAAGCGAAAGAAAAACAATTGCCTCGGTGGGCTCAACACGATCTATCCCTCCATTAGCTTACCTTATTTTCAGGATCTCTTGTTGATTTTCAATCAATTAATAAGGGAAAAAAATGGCTTGTGTTCCCTTTGGGCTTGCCTTGTAATTTATTCTAATCCTAATAATGAAGAATGGAAAGGAAGCGGTCGCGCAAACAGTCTTTTAATTGCAGCCCTTCCTTTCACGAGTACGTGCAGCCATGGACGGTAGGACATTGGATGGCATGACATGGTATCGTCGGCAGTGCTACTGCACACTCACTGCACAGTGCACACAGTCCCGTACAGTACGACAAGAGGGAGAGTGAGTGTAAAGTACAGTACGTCCTGTGTGTACAGTACTGTACTGTACTGTACAGTAGTCACTACAACGCAGTGACCCACAGTACTGTGTGAGTACGTACAGCCATGGACGGTAGGACATTGGATGGCATGACATGGTATCGTCGGCAGTGCTACTGCACAGTGCACACAGTCCCGTACAGTACGACAAGAGGGAGAGTGAGTGTAAAGTACTGTACTGTACGTCC